TTTAAGTCACTTTGACATTATTCGAGCTTTCACTTTGTATTTTTACAGACACACACACACAGCCGTAGCACTTAGAAGAGAAGAGACTTTCTGCACATTCCCACATGGGGATGTGTGTTTGGGAGTCTCTTTTCTGTGTGTGTGTGTGTATGTGTGTGTGTGTGTATATATAACTATGAATCACTGACACTCTAAAACTATGCAGGGCTAGGGAGCCTTTACAAGCTCACGTTAATGAATTACATGCACTTTTAAGTCAATAGGTTTCTATTGGGTGTCAACAACTGGTTCCTCCCAAAACTGTAGATTCTCTTACATTCTTTTCCTACTTTACCCTGTGGATGTACTCTCAGGAATAATCTGGCATTTAACAAAATCCTGACAAGTAAGTCATCTCAAAGATGGGAAACATCAATGTGTCTGTGTGCACCGGTCCACTGCTGCCTCTCCTGCTGCTGCTGGTGTGTCTGTCCGCCGGGTGGTGAGGTTGCGAACTGAGCTCCAGAGTTAACACTAACCTACTTGTAAGGTTGGCTGTGCATTGCCTTTGAGGCTCCCTGTTTTAAAGGTAGGAAACAGGACTGACTTCCATTTTTAGGTTTGACTCTAATATTAGGGTGTCTTTTGAAGCCAATCTCAGTCTGTCGCGCTCTCAGAAGAAGCTAAAATTAATTCCATTATATTCCTTAATGTGTGTTTATATATTTGTGTTGACATGAATTATTTTGATGTAGTTTTAAATACCTGTTCTGAAGTCAGACTATACTGTGCTGGTACTACAGTTAAGAGTGAGTAGACTTAATTTTGGTGGAAAAAACTTGATCTGTGCTTTTTAATTTTAAAAAAACAAAAACATTGGACAAGAGCTATTGATGTCACACATTTATTCTTCTGAAAATTTATTAAATATTCTTTCACATCCCCAAAGTGTAATTATAAAAATAAGTGGCCACTGTTCATAGTTTTGTTTAATTTATGAAGTTTGCTTTTAATAATTTAGCAGCTTACCTGGCTGAACTACGTGTACAAAGAGAAACTTCTTTTAACCTATGGGATTGTGGACCGATGTGACTTGCGAAGATAAACAGACGTGGTTGTGTGTGCTCCGGTAGGTGTTAGCAGACTTTCAGTGTACCTTGTGAAGTGTGGTTAATAGGGTCGGTAGGTTGAATAGCTCTGTGCCTCTGCCTTTTGAACCCATCTATTCAATCTTTTGTAATGCTTACTAAGCATTAGAATATTTGAATGCCGTACTAAGATAAATGTGAAGTCTGAGTAGGATGGCTCTCAGAAAAAGAAAAAAACCACATGTATAATGTAAAATTTGGCCACAGGACCTGGTATGTTACTCGGTGTAGAAATTTTGTGAGAACCAAATCACAGTACCGGATCTTATCTCAAGGCCCCGACAATCAGGCCGTCAGACAATCACCACTTTGGGTGCCCGCCTTGTTGAGGTTACAGGACCATCGTTTTGTTCCTGGGTCACAGAGAGAACATTGGCATTTCTTCAAGAAGCTGTTGGTCTTTTTTTTTTTTTTTTTTTTTTTTTTTAGTTTTGTGGTTTTGATGAATAATTTAAGTTCAAAGTCACCTGTGATTCCTAAGGGGGGAAAAAGTATAAAAGGTGAAATTATTCCTGAAAAATGGTTGTTTGAATTTTCCACATACCCTACCCTCTCTCATGCCCCCTCAGCTTTTTTTAGGCATATGTCCCTACACCTAAGCTCTCCTGATATGTTGATAACCAGTTAGATTTTAAGGATTTTTAACATCCTTTTGTTGAATCCTTTTGTATAACTCTCTGAAACTTCACCTAATTCTCAGTTTTTTAATTTAAAAAGAATGAATTAAATGGCTTGTATAAAACTTTTTGTAATTGTTACCCTTTAATGGGCTTTCTTTTGATTGGTTGTTCAAGTTCTGGCTCTGGGCCGTACTTGGCCATTGAATTGAGGTGATGGTGCGGAGTGTGAGGGGGACAGCCTTGAGGCAGCAGGGCCTGCATGTGTCCATCTCTAGAGAAGGTAGAACATATCTCAGTAACTACTCAGCAAAGGATGTATTTTCATAATGTTTAATCTGCCTTTTAGGAAAATTGTGTTTCATGAAACACTTGTAAGATATTTGTTTTGCAATTCTAAGGCATTCATGTTTGTATCTTAGGACTGAACTCAAAGGGAAATGTTTATTTGACTTTTAAAAAATTATTTGATCGACTTCTGACTTTCTGTTGAAAGTTATTATGAAAGCAGCAGTGATGGGTGCTATTCCCGATTCTGCAATGGTTTACTTAGTCTACTAAATAATTTACTTTCAAACCTCATGACAGATAACATTACTGAAAGAGTTACCATCACACTACTACAAGGCATTGTATCTTACTATTTCCCATCAGCACTGTTGTATGAGCAACATTTTCTGAATGTTCAGCTGCCTTTTTGTCTGATAAATTGCAATAGCTGTTATGTAATTCTTGTCTTGGCAGGTCTTTGATATTGTTTCCTCCAGAAAACTCTGACCATATGTCAATCTTCCCTTATTCTAAATATTACAATACATTGCTGTGGCTGTTTCTAAAGAAAGGTTACTTGCAAGTGTGTGTCTTGAAAATAACCACTTGTGTTTGTGTGTTTGTGTGGGCTCTAAGAGATGAGCTCTGGAAGCTTCGTCACGTACCTGCACCTGACTGTTCTCTGACTGTTCTGTAGGCAGGTGGTCTGGATCCTGCTCTTGGGGTGGCTGGAAGGTAAAGGTTCTTGATCTTATTGCTGTTTGTGTCCCGCATCTATACTCCAGAAGTACTCCTACAACACTGCATTCTTGTGGTTGTGCTGTTACTGGTATAAAGTCAAGTGCCTTCAATGCTAAAGGCTCAGAAATTTTTCTTAAACTGATTTCATGTCCTATGCAAGTGTTTTCTACAACCTGCATAACCAGTACTTTGTAAAACTTGTTTACGCTTCAATTGTACATAGTGTTTTTTAAGGAAATATATAGTATTTTTATTTAGGTACCTCCAAACTTGAATTTGTCTGTGTGAAGCATTGTAAAACGATACATCTCTCTTTGCGTATCATTACCGTTGTACAAAGGTTTTCACTGGTTCTATTTTTCTACTGTTACTGATAAGCATGTAACACTGACTTTATCCTACATACAGTTGGCATTTCAAATAAATGGCTTGTATAGAACCTGCTGAGTTGGATGTAGTCTGTTTTAGCAATGTGGCCTGCAGTCCTCAATTCTAGAGTAAAACTGGGAGGCTTTCTTCACAAACTTCCCCTCTGTTCCCATGATTTCCATTATTCAGAGGCTTTTTTTTAATTATTGTTTTCTTGGAAATATATTTTCATTTGAATCAAGGTCATTATATTTTCTACTTTTTCATTGGGGCGCTTTTGAGAGATTGCCTCGCATGGGAGTCTCCAGAGGAAGGTCAGCATTCCACCAGCGGACCCAGCACCTGGACGGTGCCAGGCGCTGGCAGAGGCCAGGCAGATCCCAGCTCCAGGTGCCGGAGACCTGGCTCAGAATCTGAGCTTTTTTCTCTTTCACACTCAGGCTTACTAATATTTTTCCATTTAAAAGGGAAATGGAGACATCTATAGTTTTGGTTCCTGAAAACAAAACAAAACATGCAAGATAGAAAATTCTCTAATTTCCATTTTTAAATTGTTATAAAATAGCTACTAATCATTCCACTAGTAAGTTCCATCTTATTTTTCCCTTCATGCCTCACTACGGTAGTTCTAGAACCATCTTAGGTTTAACTGTGGAGTATCAAACAAAAATCTGAGGTTTCTGTGAGATCTTAAAAACCTTGAAAACCGAGTAAGGCAACATTCGTGTCTTAACTTGTGGATTTCCCCTGGAAGAGTGTAGGCTGCCTTCCCTCACCACCCCAGCCTCAGATATTGTTGCTCCTAACAGCAACAGGAAGCTGCTCCAGAGTTTTGAACGGGGATAAAAGGTAATAGAACTTGCATGGTCTGTGTCGGAGTGGATCAGAAAATCAGGCAGGGGTTTGGCAGCTCTCCAGGGGAGAGCCCGAATAGCTCAGAAAACCAAGAGGGTGATTTCAAATATAAATATGATAAGGGCATAATATCTGTAGGACTTGGCGATTTGGTGTGGGGAGAAAGCAGAAGACATCAGACAGGAGAAAGGGCATGAGCTTAGTGTTGATCTCTCTGTTCCCAGCCTTGCTTTGGGAGACTGAGGAGAATTCATGTTTCTTGGAAGATTTAGAAAACCCTGGATTGGTTAAGATGCTGGAAGACTTGGTTCAGTTCTTTGGTTTATGTTCTCCCTGCTATGGATCCTGGCCCACTGCCTGCCACATGATAGGTGCTGCACTGTTTGTGGAATACACAAGTGGGAGTGCTCATCTGTGCATCAAAGGTTTGCTGAGCACATGATCTCCTTTTGTCCACCCACAATGACCCTAATTGCCAATCCCCATTTTACAGTTGTGGAAACTGAGGCTCCAAGAAGCTGAGATTCCACATCTAGTTGGTGACTCCAGGTTCAGGTACGTAAGCAGCTCTAGGGCTGCAAGGAGCCCTTCGTTCACCTGAGCACAATTCACGGGGTGATGACCACGAATCTGAATTTCCAAGGAAGCAAGAACTGGGGGAAGGCCAGAGGTAGGCCTCTAGATTGGCTTTTGGTTGAAATAATGGCTACCATTAGGTGGGCCTCATCTTTTCCTCTCTCCTGCACAGCAGCACCTGCACAAACAGGTCACTCAACCCAAGCCCACTTCTATGTTCTATTGATTTAGGCCCCAACAGGGACTATGGCAGCTCGCTCCCAGGTGTCGTAAAGCCAGGGACTCAGGCGAGGCCACACCTTGTGAAAAGGAGGAGAAATGAACCAGTGCCCTACTGAGCAGGACCCCAGGGGAGGAACAGCTGTGGGGAGTATACTCATTTCCTTATAACAGGCACTGAGAGGCTGTGCACATTTAAGTAACTAAAAACAATCTGAAAAGCCACTATTTTGAATTGGTTTTATTCAGTCTTACAGAAACCTGATTGGAGTTTAGTACGTAGTTATAAGTCCAGTAGCAATTCTACAAAAGTGGACATACAATGCTGGAAGTCCTTCAAAGCAACAATATCATAGTCTTCTTTTGCATAAAACATGCATTAACTGCCACATGTAGGCCAAAATCAGTCTCCACAAGAGGAGACGGTCCAGTGCAATAAGAAAACTAGCTATGAACAGCAGTATAAAAGGAGGTGTCCTGGTTAGTGTAGAAGGGACAGTGCCTTCAGAAAACAAGCCCTTCAGCACTGGGGGATTTGTATTGTGTGGCGATGTAACGCGTCACATCAGACCTGGTCCTGACCTGTCCTAAGAAGGAACATTCTGGTAGTTACACATTTGAGAAGACACAAACTTGCAGGCCACAATGGCCCACTACCTGTGCAGCCTTGCAGAGAGGGCGCAGATATCCTGACTTGGAAGAGCTCCCAAGTTGGAGGTTGTAAACAAACTCAAAGACGCCCTGAGCTTTCCAACCTAGCCTTTTCCTTTCCCTACAAGGCAGCCCTGGGCACACAGCACCTGTGGCCGTGAGACCTCCAGCTCACACATCACTCTTCACGAGGATCTGTAACGGTGTGCTGCAGAGAAACATGGGACGGATCGTTTCTTTTGAGGCCTTGACTTGCTGTAGATCTCACCTCACACAGGGATCAGCAGGCACTTGTCTACAAGGCTGCTGCACACACCAAGGGATGTTATTAACACTTGTGGCCCCAAAGTCTCAAATGCTTGTAGTCACGTAACTCAGTTTGTCTATTGTCAGGACAGACCTTGTTCCTCCAGAGCAGGGGTCAGGAACCTTTTTCCCGCCCAGGGCCACTTGGATATTTGTAACATTATTCACGGGCCATACAAAATTATCAACCTAAAAACCAGCCTGTTGTATGTGGTCAAACATTTAATTAGCTTACCCCTAATGGGTTAAGTTCCATGGGCCTTAGACTGCCAGGCCCAACGTTCCCCAGCCCTGCTCCAGAGGGAACAACTCCATTTATAAAGGGTGTTTCCCATAGACTGACGGGTTTTAAAGAGATTTCAAACAAACTGAAAGAACCTCCCTTCAAATATGGGGTTTTATGCAACATTCCTTGAGGTTCTTAAAAAGATCTGAGTCATCAGGGAGCCAGTTGTGGGCATTAATACTTATATACATAAAGCTCATCATCCGCGCAGCCTAGGAGTCTGCCTCTTCCACAACGGCTCTCGCCGCCCTGCTCACGGGTAAGCTAAGCCAGTATCTTTTCCTTCAGCACAATTTAAGGGGGGGAAATAATTTATTAGGGTTCTAATAACATTTTCACAACAGAACAATATCAAAATAGGTTTGTTTTTAATATATGCTTATGAATATCCCTGATAATATAAAGAAATCCAGAGGACTTTGTAAACCGCCGAGATTTCGCAGGAGAGCCCGGTCTGGTTTCTAGACAGCAGGAGGGACTACGATGTGGCATGTGTTCTCCAGGAAGCCCTGTGAGCACCACAGTTCTGAAAGTCTAACATGCTAGTACCAGCAGAATTGTGAATGACATTCCTATCAAAGGGTGGCTTCCTCAATCCTGCCATTAGCTAATCTCCCTGCCTAAAACAGGCCACAAAACCACCAATCCTGGCCACTCCAGGGGTTGAGCCCAGAGGAATCAAGTTGTGAGATCGCTTGTAAGCTGTGCCCAAACCTCAGAAAGGAGGGCTGTGGGAGGACGAGCAGACCGGGCTTGAGGAAGCTTTGACCCAAGGCACCACGATCATAGGGGTGAGGGGACTTAGAGAGGTTCCAGCTGCAGGAAGATGCCTCCAAAGCAGGTCCTGGAAGACAACAGCTCTGTGGCGGAGTAGACACGTTTGGGAGTTAAAGACCAAAAAATTAGAAAAGAAACTAGTTTACTTTTTCAAAACCAAATCAAACTTCTTAAAACTTATAAGCAAATAACCCTGGATAGCCTGGGGGGAGGGGGCTGAAGTCTGTGGAATGAGTTGCTTTTAGCTGAGTCAGAAAGAATGCTGGTTGTGAAATCAGCATAAACACTGTGGCTACCGCAGTTAAGGAGAGTGAAGGAAGCTCAAGGTCAGAGGAGGAGGCCTCTCCAAAGAGAAGCTGGAAGAGGAGCAATTGTGAAATATGCCTCTTTTATTCCTGGATCAGTGAGTGGCATTTCCACCGCCTGGCTGGGAAGGCGCCGTACTCCACTCTAGCTGCAATAATACTGCATCCCGTCCACTCTTCTTCTCTTCTTGGACTGAAACTCTTCAAAGAACTGCTGGATGTCCTCTCTCTTTACAACCTGTTGACAAAAAGCAAAGATTAGGAAAGGGAACTACATTAAGAACAATAGTAACTGGTCGTAATGTTCACAAAGAAGTCAAACAAGTTGCTGATACGGATTATTTTAATGGGTAATTAATTATACTATCTCGATTTTATAGAGTTCATCCATGCTCAGAGACACTGGCCTGTTCAGATCACACAGCTGGCAGAATAGCATTAGGCACCAAGCATAGGTTCCACCACCTGCTGGGTTTCCTCACACAGATGAGTAAAAAGCAGCACCAAAGTGAAAGGGCCATTGGGAGAGGCTGAGCCACAGTGCTGTGGGGCACTGCTAGCACAAAGTAAGTTCTCAGTAATTGGCATGAAGAGTGGCAGAGCCAGACAAAGGCTGAGAACCGGAAAGGTCTCCTCAAACATTGTTCCCACTCATTCCACCACTGCCTTCTGGGAATGTCCCTCCATTCTGAATAAGCACCCACAAAACAACATGTTTTGTTTTGAGATTTGTGCTTTCTTTCCTGAAGAAAAAGGAACCTGAAAACTTTTACCTCTTCCAGAGTCCAAAATTAAAGATGCTTGTGCATAAATAAATAAATTGGTAAAAACTACAAAAGCACTACTCTTAGTAAAATGAGAAATTTATCTTCCATTTTATTGGAAAAAGGACTGGAGCATGATACAAAGGTGTTTATGACAGAAGCAAAATAGAATATTAAAAGTAAGACAACAGTAAACTGGTACAGCCCAGATGAAGTCCCAGCTCACCCAAGAGTGAGTCTTGCCAGTGATCTGATCGAAAGTTAAGGACATTCCATTAAGAGACAGGTCTGTTAATTACTTTTTAATTACAAAGGAAACATGCTTATTGTTAAAAAAAAAAAAAAACAAGAAAAACGAAGGTAGGGCATGAGGGAGGGAGAAAGTAGTGAATGCATGTGAGCAAGAGAGAGGTGCAGAGGACAATTCAGGTGTGTAAGATGAAAATCTCCCTTTCTCGCTCTACAGGGTCAGTGCTGCTAACACCAGCAAATGGCAATGCTAACCGGAAGAACTGCCTTGGGATAAGGTATTTATGCTCTGGTCGAGTGGCCAGTTGGTTGGAACACTGACACCAAAAGGTGGCGTGTTGAATTTCCAGTCAGGACACATTCCCAGGTTATGGGTTTGATCCCGTCGGAGCCTAATATAGGAGGCAATCAATCAATCAATCAATGTGTTTTTCTCTCTCTCTCTTTCCCCCTTCCTCTCTCTAAAATCAATTAAAAAAAAGAATGTATGTTTGGAAAAAAAAAAAAAAAAAGATACTTATTAATACCCTACATGAAAGAACTTAACATTTGTCAATACTCTACCCACCAATAGTTGTAATGCCCGATTCACCCGCACTAAGAGTAAAACTGCGAGTCAACCAGCGAGGAATTAGAACCCCTAACAGATTCAAGATCTACATGCTAACTTTCTGAGATGACTTTAGTTCAGAGCTCAGTGGCTTCTCCGAATCTACCACCACTCTCCAGACCCTGTGTGGCTGCTCGTCCCCCATTCCTGCTGGCCTAGTTGGGAAGAATGCCCAAGGCGGCCGGACTATGGATGTCTCACCACCTCTTACTGATTTCCGTCAGCTGTCTGAATTAAACTCGCAAGTATCCAGTTTAAGATGCATGTTTTTTTATCAAAGAAAATAAAGTTTATTCAAAACACACAGGGTTGTGATTAAAATTCTTTAACTCAACATACCGTGCCTTCATCAGCAAATCTCTTCAGGTAGTCTTTAAGTTCAGTCTTCAAGTCATTATATTCTAAATTAAAACAACAAAACAGGCCATTGGCTTTTAGAAACAAAATATTTCTTTACCACCGACTTGAGTATCTAGAATTTAAATTTTAGTTAATAGTTTAAATTTTTTAGTTAATAAGTTTTGATTTTTCTTTAAATGAAACCTACATAGAAACGTGTTTCCCAAATTCCTTCATTTTGATATCAAAAATACTTTTTTCATTAAAACAAAAAAAGCTCAAAAACCAGAGATAGCCTCACTCCCAAAAAGATTAGCATAGAATTTTTTTTTTTTTTTTTTTTAAATTTTTTTTTAATATATTTTATTGATTTTGTACAGAGAGGAAGGGAGAGATAGAGAGTTAGAAACATCGATGAGAGAGAGTCATCGATCAGCTGCCTCCTGCACACCCCCCACCGGGGACATGCCCGCAACCAAGGTACATGCCCCTGACCGGAATCGAACCCGGGACCCTTCAGTCCCCAAGCCGACGCTCTATCCACTGAGCCAAACCGGTCCCGGCAAGATTAGCATAGAATTTTAAAAGGGTTTTCTATTTCTCTGGAATTCTAATATTTGAAATGACTCAGATTTATCAAATACTGCCCTAGCTGGTTTGGCTTGTTGGCTTATGGACTGAAGGGTCCCTGGTTCGATTCTGTTCAAGGGCACATGCCTGAATTGCGGGCTCGATCCCCAGTAGGAAGTATACAAGAGGCAGCTGATCAATGATTCTCTCTCATCATTGTTGTTTCTCTCTCTCCCTTTTCTCTGAAATCAATAAAAATCTATTTAAAAAAAAAATTGACTAGTGATTGCCTTTAAAAAAAAGATTTGACAAATACTAAGTTTTAAAATTTGTTCACTCAATCAACAGTTTGCATTATGTATGAAGCACCTTGAAGGCTACAAAAATCCTCCATCCTCAAAAAGCTTTTAGTCTAATAATGGGAAAAAGAATCAAATAGTTACAAATAAAAGATAAAAACAATCAATGTCATAAAAGGGGCACACAGGTGGTGGCACCCCCAGAGAAAATGGCTGGGATAGAAATCGCCAACATGAGTTGGGCACGCTGTGGGGAGCATGTCAAAGCCTGCAATTAAGAGTCTGGGCTATTTCCCCCTCTGGTGGATTCCTGTGAACCACTGAGGCAACCTCAAGAACTGTCAAAAGGTGACATGTAATGCTCAATGAAAATTATATTTTATTGGATGGAAAAGAAATTGATTCTCTAATACTCTTTACTCACATATTCACCTTTAATCAAGACACATGCTGTGGTTTCTTCATCATGAATTATTCTAGCATGTAACCCATAATAGCAACCAAATACCCAGCAACATTACCCTTACGCAAGTATAGTTGAGGTCTACTATACAATTCCAAACTTAAACTTTAAAACAAAAGGTATTAGTTATTCTCCTTACATAATTTTTTTTTTTTTCAATTGTGAGAGAAACTTTATGGACTTCATGAATTTTCACACTCAAGCAGAATTTACCACAAATGAGTTCCACTTGCTGGACTCTGTTCATGCTGTTCAGGGTGTCCATTAAAGGATCTGTCCTGTCAGCCGCCTGGTCAACCTTGCCCTTGTTTTCATAAGCCAGAACTGTGTCATATTCATCTGTCAGGAACAGGACATCTAGATCGCCATACATTTTCTTTAAAAAATAAAACCAGTTTCCCCATTAGCGCAGCATGCCATTTACCAGTCAATCTCTGAAAATTTATTTTTAAATGAATTGCCAGAAATACCTGAGCCTTTCCCCACAGAGTTGCTTGAGTGATTTATTCTTTTTTTCCCAAATCTCTTTTAGAAATCTCTCAACTTCCTAGTAGGTATTGTATGGCCTAAGAGATCTTTATTTAAAAAAATAAAGATCTGACTTACTGTAACTCTCAACAATTTGTGTTTCAAGCAATTTTACGATATAAGAAAGCGAAGAATTGCTATTTTTCCACTAAAATGAAGTAAATAAAAAGTAATGCATAATTCTGCATTTCTTCCACAAGCATTTAGACTGTAAACACTATTTCATAAACTTGCTTAATATAAACATTTTTGGTGGAAGAGTATAGCATAGAGTGGATAAATGGTGATGGAAACAAAAAAAATTTTTTTTTAATTTTTAGATTCTTTACACTCCTCAGATGATTTTCATGTATATATGAAAATACGATGTTCTTATTTTAGGCATCAGTCCACAAAACAACTAACACTGGACTTGATCAGGTACTTACCATACAGTCTTTGCAGGTACACAACTTGCTACGCCAGTTCAGGGGCCAGAAGGTGGCAGTATCTTTCTTTATAAAATGCTTAGCTTTAAGCTCCTGATATTTGCAGCCAGACTGTGATTCTGGGTTGAGATGTTGATTCTTAAATACTGTCTGAAATAAAATTAAAGTGTTTTCTTTGTTGTTGTTGTTTTTAAAATATATTTTATTGATTTTTTACAAAGAGGAAGAGAGAGGGATAGTTAGAAACATCGATGAGAGAGAATCATCGATCAGCTGCCTCTTGCACACCCCTCCACTGAGAATGTGCCCGCAACCAAGGTACATGCCCTTGACCGGAATCGAACCCGGGACTTTTCAGTCCGCAGTCCGACGCTCTATCCATTGAGCCAAACCAGTTTCGGCAAAATTAAGTTTTGAAATATGTTTTTTAAAATATCATGTTTTCATACTTTAGATTTGTAAAAGGACTTCTTTAGGCAAAATATACAATTGAGATCCAAAACTATCGAGCTTACAGAATTAATTTTGCTTAAGCTTTCTTTTATGGCTCCTACTTCAGCTGTTACCTGGAGATCAGATTCAGAACTAGAGCTGGCACACGGTTCGTTCGTCTGCTCTGCTTTAACTGCCTTGACAGCATCCTTTGCATGTTCTGGAACATCCTCTTTGAGGGGACTGTCGCGATGCTCTCCATTTTCAGGTTTGATAACTTCCTCATCACCTATTCCATCAACATTCACAGCCAACCCATCATCCTCAGCAGGTACTTTGGTTACTGTAGTTTCAATGAAAAAAAAAAAAGGCACAAATACACAGGTCCACAGACCTATTAGACAATGAAATCGCTTTACCTGATTAAAAAATATTTCAGAATTTGGAAAAGGAGTAATCTTAAGCTCTAGAATAATGACAAAGGAAATATCAATATTTTTTTAAGTTATGCCTGTCAAACCAAAGAGTTAAAATAATTGAACACTTCGTTTAAAAATATAATCACTTAAAAATATAATCACTTAAGCACTTTTATGTAAAGGAGAAAGAAAAATAGCACTGATGCTAAAGAGAGATGGGATACCTGAAGAAGCAAGAGGCAGTAGGAAGAGACACAAGTACTAGGGTAGTGTTGTTGTTTTTTTTATAGTCAGTTATTTATCAATCTATCTATCCTTATTGTTGAAAGTATTACTGTTATTCCCCACCCCCCCCCCCACCAAACAGGATAGTTTTGAAAAGACAATCAGCATTTTTTCATAAAAAAAAAATAAAAAGGATGGGTAGAGAGCCAGAAATACTGAGAAGGAGCTCATGGTACATGATGGCATTTCAATTTAGTAGAAGACAAAGCCATCTGCTGACGGGAGGAAATGAAGTGATGGAGAAGAGATGAATTAAGAAAATCGATTGAATGAGAAATATATATAGGTCCAGTGAAAGTTAGAGATAGAGACAGATATGAACAGAAAGAGGGAGCCTTAAGAACTTTGAGGCAAATCAAAAGTGTAGGATGAGATCTTAAATATGGCTGCTGTTTGTGGTTTATAGGTAAAGTGTTCCTTAAAGGTGAGAAGGGCAAAAAAGTACGAGACCAGAGCAGCAGATTCTATGAGTTACTGCCACTTAAAAAAAATAATACATATGGCATGACCAATAAAATAAAATTATTTAATGTCTCAAAACTATTCATTGCTAATTAGTTGTTTTGGGTCAATTTCTTAGTGTATAGCAAAAACACTAGCTAACATTTCCCATCACTCCCTACACAACCAACAGCAGGTCTTACATTTAAAAACAACTTATTCCATTTGTCTTTCAAAGTTCCATTAAAAACTGCCTCCTTGCCCAGCTGGTGTGGCCCAGTGGTTGAGCATCAACCCATGCACCAGGTCAGAGCTTATACCGGGGTTTCAGGCCCCAGCCCCAGTGGGGGGGGTGCAGGAGGCAGCAGATTGATAATTCTCTCGCATCATTGATATTTCTATATCTCCCTCTCCATTCCTCTCTGAAATTAATTAAAAAAACAAAAACAAAAACAAAAATCCTACCCCCTTCATTTTCTCTAATTTTGGTCTCATCTATACACTGCATCATGCCAATGAAGTACAGATTTGCTCTTGGTAGTCTCCTAACCAATCACAAGCACTTTCCTATACCTCAGAGTCCAGTTAATAGTAATAAAAAGTCTGCACTGAACACACAAATTTCATAAGCACAAGTCTGTACAACTCCAGAGATGCCTACCTGCCCACTGTGCAGCGTACGCCCACAGGAAAGAGCAGCGCTTCATGCAGGCCTGGCACACCATCTCCTGGAAATCCCCACTCTCCGGGGGCGTGGCACCAAGATGCTGTGAGTACAGAAAACAGCCTTTTTCTTGTGATCTCTTAAGTTGTCCAAAATACTCATTTTATAAACAAATATGGCAATAGTACACTGATCATATCTTCATAGGATATTTTTTGAATAGTAACTATAATGTAAAATATAACACAATTCAAAAGAAAACACCTTTTCTCCATTTGTGAAGAGAATGGCTTCAAAAGGGAAAAGCTTTCCTTACCCTTCCATGGAACCAGTCTTCACACACTATGCACTGGATCATCTCATCTGGAATCTAATACGGAAAAGCAATTTGTACGTTAATGATTACACTGAATTCGGAGACATGGAGGTAAATCTGGCACAGAGTACTATTAGATATTAATTAATTCTCTTCTAAATCTGTGAGACCACTCTCGACAGGGATATCCAAGGAGACAGGGGAAGACATCAGATCAAGGGGCCAAAGAGAAGTTCATTCTACATGAACTAATGGTACATAAGGGTTACAGTGCAATAAGCACTTTGCAAGCAACTGTCAAAGCTCTTTCCCGTCATTTGTGATTCTGACAAACTTTACAAATAAGTAAAGTGTTCCCATTTTACACATGAGCATGAACCCAAGCCCAGGGGAGTAATCTGAATTGACCCATACAGAATTTGGCACCTGGCCAGCATGGCTCAATGGTTGAGTGTAGATCCATGAACCAGGAGGTTGCGTTTGATTCTGGGTCAGGGCACATGCCTGAGTTGTGGGCTCGATCCCCAGTGTGGGGTGTGTAGGAGGCAGCCAATCAATGATTCTTTCTCATCATGATGTTTCTATCTCTCACTCCTCCCTTCCTCTCTGAAATCAATAAAAATATTTTTTAAAAGGTTATTACAAATTTCCAATAAACTCATGAAAAGATGTAACCTCAGTTATGATCAAGAAAAGGAAAATTTTTGCCGAAACCGGTTTGGCTCAGTGGATAGAGCGTTGGCCTGCGGACTCAAGGGTCCCGGGTTCGATTCTGGTCAAGGGCATGTACCTTGGTTGCCGGCACATCCCCAGTGGAGGATGTGCAAGAGGCAGCTGATCGATGATTCTCTCTCATCGATGTTTCTAACTCTCTATCCCTCTCTGTAAAAAATCAATAAAATATATATTTTTTTTAAAAAAAGGAAAATTTTTTAAAGATACAGTTCATCTATTAGGATGGCAAAATTTTAAAAGACTAGTAATATGTAGGGATGATAAGAGTGTTGGGGAAAAAACAGTATCATATATTATTGATGGTTGATTACAATTTTAAATACAAATATCCTTTGACCCATCAATTCTACCTCTAGGTCTCCATTCTCCATAAATCCTGCAGGAGTTTATTCAGTTATATTATTGTATAAGGGTGTTCACTGCAGCTTTCTTTATAGTAATGAAAAAGTAGAAAATGCCATTCTACTGAGTATTTAGGTAACTAACTTAGGGCTTGTCAAAGATATATAAACACCAAAAGCGTTAGCAGTCGTTACTGTCTAGGAGAAGGAAGTACAGGAGTGAGGCAGCACTCTTTAAATTGTGTGTATATTTCTAATTGAAAACTTTAAGAGGATCATGTGTACATGCTATTTCTTTCCTTTCGGGAAGATAAGAAATTAAAAGCTATTTTGTGGAAAGTATTCAGGACTCAGAGCAAGGAAGGCAGGTAAAGAGGGACAGGAAGGATTAAAGGTCCGGGCCTTAAGAAAGTCCTATTCAATATTTCATTCTCATGATGTAAGAATGAGAATAGTTGAGATCTGTACTAGTTAGAGACCTAGTCCAGATTTATCAGAAGAGATAAATTTAGAATCCTTTCACAATCCCCAAATTCCACCTGCACAGCTACAGAGGCCTAGATATGCCAAGAGGCTGAGGGGTGAAGGCTAGAGATAACCAAATTCTCTTACCTCGTCTTCAGGATCAGGATAAGGTCTCTTACAAATGCAATACAATCCAAAAAAGTTGTCATTATACTTATTGCCAGAATTTATCTTTGCTTTGTCCTGAAAGACATTAATTTCAATATAATATTCTAATTTTAACTATAATTTCATGCATCATCACATTTCTGCATTCCACAAATTTCTGCATTGAATATACAAAGAAAAGAGTCACTCCTATGAAAGGGATACTTTTTCCAGGATACAGGGAAAAAAGAAAAATCATTTTTTTGTACCATATTTGTTGCAATTGGTGGAAACTGAATATACCTGTATAATAGAATAGTAATGAAAGTTAATCATGAGTATTAATATCAACCTTTGGCTCTGGCCAGTGTGGTTCAGTTGATAGGGCACAGTTCTGTGCACCTGGGGGTTGCTTGTTCGATTCCAGGTCAGGCCCAGGGCTGGGTTCCTGGCTCCATCTCTAGTAGGGGGCATGCAGGAGGCAGCCAATGGATGTTCCACTTTCACATTATGGTTTTCTCCCTCTCCCTTCCTCTCTCTCTGAAAAACAAAAGAAAAATCTTTTTCTAAAAATCAACCTATGCAAACTGGCATTGCCTAGAACAGTGGACAAACCGAGGTTCGTGAGCCACATGCGGCTCTTTGGCCCTAGAGTATTCTAATGTCACTTTTTCAAAATAGACTCACCAAGGCCGAAAACCGACTTCTGCGCATGGGCCACAAAGTTTCAATCGCCCTGTACGTACGTGCGCCCACACGTGGCATTTTGTGGAAGAGCCACATGCAAGGGGCCAAAGAGCTGCATGTGGCTCGGGAGCCAGGTTTGCCGACCACTGGCCTAGAATTTCAAACTACTCTTAACAGCACCTGTAATAGCCAAAGCTGCCAGAGTACCAGAATGTAAAAAATAAAAAGACAAGAAAGGGGGAAATGAGACATATGTAATACTTTAAACAAAGAATTTAAAAAAATTTTTAAAAAGCAGACAAGATAATTGTCCAAAAATAGTCTTCTAAGGAGAGAAAATCATAATAGTTTTAGCAATTATGGTGGAATAAAATAAAATCCATTTTTTATTATTAATTCTCACCTGAGGATATTATTCCATTGATTTTTAGAGGAGTGGAAAGATGGAATGACAGAGAAATATCAATGTGTGACAGATACATCAATTGATTGCATCCCACACAGGTCCTGACTGGGGTCAGAATCTACCCTGCAACCAAGGTATATGCCTTTGACTGGAATAGAACCCAGAACCCTTCAGTCTGCAACTGACGCTCTATCCACTGAACAAACTGGCTAGGGGCCCTTAGTTTCTTTCATTTGTTATTTCACCAAAAGTTATTGTATAAGGTAGTTTTTATTAACCAAAACGCCATGAAAAATTCCTGCATGCATCTAGCCCACCTTCATTATTATCAAGTTTTATTTATCTAGTTTTTAGTCCTACCCCTTGCTTTAAAAGCTTTACAGCAGCCTCGCTGGTGTGGGTCAATGATTGAGTGTCGGCTCATGAACCAGGTGGTCATAGTTCAACTCCTGGTTAGGGCACATGCCCACATTGCCAACTCAATCCCCAGTAGGGAACATGCAGGAGGCAGTGGGTCAATGTCTCTCATCGATGTCTTTCTATCTCGGTCCCTTTCCCTCTCTTAAATCAACTAGAGGCCCAGTGCATGAAATTTGTGCACTGGTAGGGTCCGTAGCAATTGCCGCTGGGTACACCCTCCTTTCCCCTTGCTGCCTGCTGCCAGACAGGGTCCCCTCTCTTCCCCCAGCCAGCCCCACCCACTGGTTGAACTGGACGACTTCCCAGGGGAGGGGACAATTTGCATACTATGCTTATATTTTGTAGGATTATTATATACTAGAGACCTGGTGCATGAAATTTATGGGGGAAAGATGTCCCTCAGTCCAGCCTGCACCCCCTCCAATCTGGGATCCCTCGAGGGATGTCTGACTGCACATTTAGGCCCAATGGGATTGAGCCTAAATGGGCATTTGGTCATCCATCTCACAATCCAGGACTGCTGGCCCCCAACTGCTCGCCTGCCTACCTTCCTGATTGCCCCTAACCGCTTCTGCCTGCCAGTCTAATCACCCCCTAACTACTTCCCTGACAGCCTGATTGATGTCTAACTGCTCCTCTGCCGGCCTGTTTGCCCCCAACTTCCCTCTTCTGCTGGCTTGGTCACCCCTAACTGCCCTCCCCTGCAGGCTTGATTGCCTGCAACTGCCCTCACTTGCAGGCCTGGTCCCTCCCAACTGCTCTCCTCTGCTGGCCATCTTGTGGTGGCCATCTTGTGTCAACATGGGGGCAGGATCTTTGGCCACATGGGGGCAGCCATATTGTGTGTTGAAGTGAATGGTCAATATGCATATTACTCTTTTATTAGGTAGGATTATGTAAAAGCCTTAGAGCACAGCATAATCACAACCAACATAATTTAACTTGAATCACTGCAAAGAACATTTCCCAAAAACCTTTCATATTAATTATACTCTATACTGTAGGTTCTAAACAGGTTACTTAGTTTTCTAACAAGGTAAAAAATGGAGTCTAATATCCATTTGCCCATTTGCAGAAAATAAGCATAAGAACTTCCTTTTTAGAAAATAATCTGGTTTCGATTAGAAAATAAATATTCATCTCAGCTATTTTCAATGCATTTAGTTATAGTGCTTACTTACAGGAAATAATTTGCATTCCAGATTCTTAAACTTGCTGTTTCCACAATCACAATGAAAATTTCTAAAACAAAGGAAGAGCCAATTTTAATTTTTCTTTTAAATCTAATGTTTTTAAAGTACGTATCATAGCCTCTTCCCTTTCAACTCATTTCTAGGATCTAAAAAGTGGCCTTGGTTGCTGCTCATCTATCCAATTCAAAATTTCTCCAACTACATAACAATAAGAGATTTAATAATTCTGGAAATTAATGTGCAGAAACAAATATTAATTAACAAGTAAATTAATGGAAGTGAAGTATGAGTAGTTTGAGTTTGTACCATAATTATATTTAAAAGGCCGTCTGGAAAAACTATTGTCTCAAATTATATTACATAAAACAACTATAATAAATTTACCAGTTCACAACTACATTGAATGGAAAAGCAAGATTATGGGAGGAAAAGCACAGCTGGGAAAGAATCTAAACATTTAAAAAGCATTAAGCACCCTTTACCTTTTTGTATATAGTTCAAATAGTTTATGACTTCCATGACATTCATAACTGCAAGCTAGGCAAATCCCTGCTGGTTCTTCTCCCTTGGGGGTGCAGGTACCACAGGCATATAGTGCTTGTCTCTTTACGGAGCCCTAAAAGACAGCCCCAAAATGAAAAATGAGAATTAATGAAATATGGCATGGTTACCTAATACCCATACTGTGATCTGAGAAATAATTGAAATCAGGTTATCTGTGGTCAAAATCTTCCTGTAAAAACCACTAAGATTAATAAAAAAGCTTACACATGAGAGTGCCAAAACACTGCTGCATGTTTCGCACGCATCATTATATATACTATACTAGTGCTTGTTTTCATATAATTTTTTCTTAAAGTGATAGTTTAATATTTTCAATCAACTGTGAATAAGCTGGCCTGCTTAACCATTAGCTGTTCTGCTTAACCATGGTAACACATGAAAATGTGTGTAGGTTGATATAAGTAATATCATAGTTTAATTTTGGAAAATGCTTGATTCCATCAAAGACAAAATCAATGCATTTTTTTAAACCCCCCTTTTTTAGGAGATGCATGCTGAAACATTTAGAGGTGTAGTGTGGTGATATCTGCAAGTTATTTTCAAATGGTTCATAACAAAACAAAAGAAGTATATTATAAAGAGAAGGATCGATGTAAAATGCTAAAAATGAAGGTATATTAAGAGATAACAACCATTCTTTCCATTTATTGGCAGATTAAAAATGTTTCAAAATAAAACGAAGGAAAAACAGGCAAAACTTGACAAACTTTGAAGAGTTCCCTGTAGGAGGGAGGAAGACACAGGGGAGCTTTGGAAAGCCAGTGATGTTCCATTTCTTGATTTGGGTGGTAGTATCTGTGTGTGTTTTTCAAGCTCTACACAGAATTTGTGCGATTGTTTATATATTTCACTAAAGTAAAAAGAAAGTTTTAAGTCTGTTTTATAAAGCTAATTATATTTCAAAAATAGCTTACAGACTTTTTTTAAGGCAGAGGAACAATGGTGGGAGCCAGAAGTTTTTGTTTTTTTTTAATATATATTTTATTGATTTTTTACAGAGAGGAAGGAAGAGGGATAGAGAGTTAGAAACATCCATCAGCTGCCTCCTGCTGTAGAGATGCATGCTGAAATATTTAGAGGTGTAGTGTGGTGATATCTGCAACTTATCACCCAAGGTGCATGCCCTTGACCGGAATCAAACCCGGGACCCTTGAGTCCGCAGGCCGACGCTCTATCCACTGAACCAAACCGGCCAGGGCAGGAGCCCAAGGTTTTAAAACACCAACCAAGCCCGGCACTGCCTGTGGATACCAGGTGTGTTTGAAAATCTGACCGCTCTTCGGCGGGCACCCAACTAGTCAGCGGCTACAAGTCGTATTGTGATCTCAGTCCACACCCCATAAAGGCCCCAGGCAAGCAGCCTCTCCTCGTCCCGGCGTTCCTTTCCCGGGGCCTGGAAGAGAGAACCTTCTTCATCCCCCCGGTTCCCAGCCCTTGAGCTTCCTTCTGCCCACCTCGATCCATGTCTGTGCCTAGAAATACACAGGATGAGTCACACCCAACACCCCATCACACCCCCTCCCTCACAACGTCTTCCAAGCGCCAACTGTCCTCAAGCAGATCCCTTGGCTCCCCCCCACCCCCACCCCTCTGCCAGTACCACCTGCTGTTCTGGTTCCTACCCCCTGGGACCCACGGCAGAGCTATTCGGCCCTGTGTCGTCTCCCCAAAAACACCGGACGCTGCACTAAACTGCAGAGAACTAACGAGCTGTCCGGGTGCCCAGCGCGTATTGGGGGTGGGGGTGGGGGTGGGGGGAGGATTTTCAAACCCAGGGCTCAGCTCTGCCTGGATTCCCCCAGTGGGTTCCTAATAAACACTCTCAAGATGGGAAGAGTGGGGACGAGGAGATCCCGGGGATGGCTTCTGGGAGGAAGAAAAGAGTAGCTGTCCAGGGCCAACGCTTGGAGAATCCCGAGCGGCCGGAGGGGGAGCGAGGGAGGAGGGGGCCCCTGTGGGCACGGACGGCGGAAGGGGGCCCAGGAGGCTGAGGGCCAGGGGGCAGCTGGGCCTGGAATGGGGAAGTCCACGACAGACGAACGGCGGCCCCCGTCCGCCACGGAGCAGATGGCCGCGGCGGGCGGGAGCAGGACGAGTCCGCGGGGAGGAGGGTTCCGCCGGAGCCCGAGGAGGCAGGCGAGGGCCCGCCGCCGGGCTCTCACCTGCGAGTAGGAGCATTTCTCGGAGTCGCTGCCCCCCAGGACAGCGCACGCCTCGTTCTCCAGCTCCTCGTCCTCCTCCAGGACGTCCACCAGCGACACCACGGGCTCCAGCTCCGACGGCCGCCCGGCGGCGGCACCCTCCGCTCCGGCCATCCTCAACTGTCACCCGCCGCAGCTCTGCGCCGGCGGAGGCGGGAAAAGCGGCCGCGGGAGGCGTGGCCGGAGGAGGCGGGTCCTGAGCCCCAGGAACCAATCCCCAGAAAGAGAAGCGAAGGAAGGGGGAGGGGCGACTTCCGACAAACGGAAGTCACTCCTCTCCCTTCTCCCGCCTGCGCCGGCTTGGTTTCCGCTTCCGGGAGGTAGCTTCGGTTAGCGCGCTCCCGGCCGCTCAGCGGTTGCCATGGAGATCTCGGGCGAGTACGTTGGCCGGGACGGGCAGCGGCACCAGCTGCGGGTGCCCTGTGAGGCGCCCGACGACGCTGACCCTCTCCAGGGCCTATTGTCGGGCGTGGCCCGGATGAGGGAGCTGGTGGCCCAGCTGTTGGACCCCCAGGTGCAGCGGGAAGCGCAGGACAGACCGGCGGCGGCGGCTCCGGGCGAGGCCGCGGACGGTGAGCTCCGAGGCAGTGTGGGGCGGGGAGGTGTGGGAACCCGGGGGAAATCTGTTCGGGGCGCCCGTAGAGTTGTAGACTTGACAAAAGCTCCGAGGGAAGAAGAATTCCACCTAAATATCATTTTTTTACAGCTTCCGCCCTGTCTGGGCGGAATTGAGGCTGCTTGATCTACTTGAACCCAAGCGTGTTCACCACTATTTCATTCATATCACACCACACGAAAACACACTGCCAGCCCCATGGCTAAGCCTCGACCTATGAACCAAGAGGTCACGGTTGGATTCCTGGTCAGGCAATGGATCAATGATTCTCCTCATTGATCTCTCTCTCTCTTTCTCTCTTTTTTCCCTCTCCCCCTCCTCCTTCCCTTCCCTTTCTCTCTGAAATCAATAAAAATATATATTTAGAAAACAAAACAACAAACAAGAGAGCCTGCTGAACGCCCACTTTGTACCAGGCACTGGGTTGAGCCCTGGAGAAAGAATGAGGTGGGGGCTGGCCAGGCAGCTCAGTTGGTTAGAGTGTGGGCTGCTATGGTTGCGGGTTCCATCTGGATCAGGGCTCACATAGGAATCAACCAGTGAATGTATAAATAAGTGGGACAACATGGATATTTCTCTTCTCTCTTTCTCTCCTCTCTCATTCTCCCCCTTCCTCTCGCTCACTAAAATAAAATAAAAATAAAATTACAAAAAGAAGGAAAGAAAAACAAAAGTGAATGTGATTCCGTTACTCTCCTTGTGGCTGGACCTCGGAGTGATGAGGGGTGAAACAGGCAGACATTACGGAGTGAAAGTGTGACCCCAGGACCATTTGGAACGACTGCGAACCGAGAGAACCCTGGAAGGCTTCGGAGAGGGCACGGCCTGAGCTGGCTGTTTTACCAACGGTGCTCCATTACAAACGTGTGGAAGACTGGCATCTACCAAAGAATAGCAACAGGTTCCGAAGATTGGGACGGACTTTGGTTTGACGAGTCCTAAGACTCCAGGCACTGCCCTCCCATATCCCAGTTTTGTAGGTGCAATTTTAAAATAGAAAAGTGAAATTTGACTGCATTAATATTTTTTAAATATTGTCTCAAATGCAAAAATAGGTATTCATTTTGACTGCCCCGAACGGAAGAACCTATGAACTAAATATTGGAGTCAGGGCTTAACTCTGCTGTAGAGTAGCTGAAAATGTACTTTTCTTTCTTTTCCATTTTGACTGCATCTTGGTAGTTCAGTTAATGTGAAGGAGCCAGTGTGGAACATTACACTGAGTTCAGAGAACAGATTGTTTCCACGTCACATATATTGAGAGTGAAGTCCTGTTTTTTTGGCTCCTGAAGGTACCTCTCTAATCTCTTGAAAAAATATGTCATAATTGGCACATGGACAGGAGTATAACTAGAGCCATTTTTAAAAAATCTGTCATTACTTATTGGAAAAACAACTGCCACCTGCTCTATTAATGGTGGATCAAGCTGCATTGACTAATGACTGGCCAATCAGTAGAAACCACAACACTGGAAGCTGCTGAATAGTCTATTGAAATCCTCCCCTGGGAGCTCCCCTAAAATTCCCACCCTGAAAAGCCTTTAGGACTAGAACCCAGCCCGGCTTTCTCTATGGAACAATAGGCCTTTCCCCACCTCCTTCCTCCCCCCTCCCTCCCCCCCACACACACAGTTTCCTTGCCTCTTTCTCTGCATCTCTCTCTCTCCTCCCTCCTCCCTCCTCTCCTCCTCTCTCCCTCCTCTCTCTCTCTCTCTCTCCCTCCCTCTCTCCCTCTCTCTCTCTCTCTCTTTCTCTCTCTCTCCCTCTATCCCTCTCTCTCTCTCCCTCTCTTCCCCTCTCCCCCTCTCCCCCCTAAGCTCCAAGGGCCCTCTTTTGCTTCCGTTAACTTGTTTCCTGAGCCCATTTCTTCTTCAGCTCACTTCTGCCTCTGTGACTTCCTAAGTAAACTTATAGTCTGAAAACAAAAATAGTGGATCAGTACTATTTTTGTACAGGTGGGCATGTTTTTGTACTGTTTGCTTAATGAAATCCCATAAGGCTTAGGTGTAATTACCTTTGTTAAAAATAATAGAGAGAACACATTGGCCGGTGGTGCTCAGTGGTTAGAGGGTCTGCCCACACACCTAAAGGTCTTAGGTTCAATTCCTGGTCAAGGGCATGTACCTGGGTTGCAAATTCAATCCCTGGCCCTCGGTCCAAGCACATGGGGGAGGAAACCAATCAATGTGTCTCACATCAGTGTTTCTCCCTCCCTCCTTCTTTCCCTCTCTTCCACTCTCTGAAAATCAGAGAGAAAAAAATATCCTCAGGTGAGGATTAACAACAACAAAAAGGTAATAGAGATTAAATGGTGAATGTTACGTTATATGAATTATATCTGAACAATGTATAAAATAAAAAATTACTAAAGCAAAGTGATAGAACTTAATTCTAAAAATAATCCAGTTACCAAATACAAAGGAATTGAATAGACAGTTCTTCAGAACGGATATGTGCGGCCAATAAGCACATGAAAAGATGTCCAGCAGGAAAATGCAAATCAAAACCACAATGAGATACCACTGCATGCTCACTAGGATGTCTATAATAAAAAAGAACAATAACAAATGTTGGCTAGCATATGAAGAAATTGGAGCCCTTATAATTACTGGTGAAATTGTAAAATGGCTCTAGCTGGTGTGGCTCAGTTGGTTGAGTGTTGGGGTCACCAGTTTGAATCTCAGTCAGGGCACATACCCAGGTTTTGAGTTTGATCCTGGTCAGGGTGCATATGAGAGGCAACTAGTTGATGTTTTTCTCCCCGCTCACTCTTCCTCTCTAAAAACTTTTTTTTTAAGAAGAAAGTGTAAAATGAGGTATCTTCTTTAGAAAAGAGTTTCTTAAAATGTTATACATAATGCTCAGCCAGTGAGGCTGAGTGGTTAAGCATCCATCCTGAACCAAGAGGTTGCTGGTTCGATTCCCAGTCAAGGCAAATGCCCGGGTTTTAGAAGGGGCAATACAGGAGCAGCCAATTGATGTTTCTACTTCTCCATCCCTCACCCTTCCTCTCTCTAAAATCAATACAAACATATTTTAAAAAACAACACACACGAAGTTAAGCATAAAGTTAACCATTTATTGATCCAGCAATTCCACTCCTAGTTCTCACAAGAGAATTGGATGCATATTCAGGCAAAAACTTACACAGTAATGTTTATAGCAGCATCATTCATAATAGTTAAAAAGTGGATCAACACAAATGCTTATTAGCTGCTGAGTGGATAAGCAGACTGTGATATATAGTGAAATATTGTTCAGCAATAAAAAAAAATGAAGTACTGATGAATGAACCTTGAAAACATTATGCTAAGTGAAAGAAGCCTGTCACAAAAGGCCGCATATTGTACGATTCCATTTATATAAAATGTCCAGAATAGACAAACGTATAGAGATAGAAAGTGGTTGCCAAGGATGGAGGACAATAGAAAGTGACTGCTAAAAGATGTGGGATTTATTTTGGGGGTGATGAAAGTGTAGAATTATATACTCATGTTGCACAATTTTATGAATATACTGAAAATCAAGCTGTATTTTTTATAAAAGTAAATTTTACGGTTATATGAATTATATCTTCAAAAAAGTGATAGGAATAGTTTTAAACAAAATTACTGGATCTTTTTTTTAATTTTTAAATAATATATTTTCATTGATTTCAGAGAGGACGGGGGAGGGAGAGAGAGAGAAACATCAATGATAGGAGAGAGTCACCAATCCGCCACCTCCTGCAAACCCCAACCTGGAGACCGAGTCCAAAACCAGGGCATATGCCTCTACCGGGAACAGAACCGCGAACCTCTGGTTCACAGGTCAACACCCAACCACCGAACCACACCGGCTGGACTGAAATCTTTTTAATGATACATACTTCAAATCTGGAATCGACATGGTTTTATTAATCCTAAAGTGAAATGGTTCATTATCAACCATTTTAATTATATTTCTTTCAACCAATGAACACATTGTCATACAAATATTTATTTTAAAAGGTGATAATGAAGATGATGCAGAAGATGAAAATAACATTGATTACAGAACTAACTCAGATGGACCATCTGCAAAACGGACAAAAACATCATCTTAAGGATAGCTTGTATGAAATGTAAAAGACTGCTGAATGCTTGCTTCTGCAGCCCACATACTAAAATTGGAACAATACAGAGAAGATTAGCATGACTCCTGCACAAGGATGACATACACATTTGTAAAGCATTAAAAAAAAAAAAAGGACTACAACCATATTAACATCTGCTTTAATTGAGAAAAGTGTTTGTTTTGTTCCCCTGGCACAGTTGTCAAAGAAAAGAACTTCTGTTTCCAGCAAAGACAGACATAATAAAATAAATGTTTAGAAATGAATCTGTTTTCTTGAGTGAAGAATTTCAGACTATTGCCAAAACCGGTTTGGCTTAGCAGTAGAGCGTCAGTCTGTGGACTGAAAGGTCCCAGGTTCAATTCTGGTCAAGGGCATGTACATTGGTTGCGGGCACATCCCCGGTCGGGGGTGTGCAAGAGGCAGTTGGTCGATGTTTCTTTCTCACTGATGTTTCTAGCTCTCTATCTCTCTCCCTTCCTCTCTGTAAAAAAACAATAAAATATATTTAAAAAAAAAAAAGAATTTCAGACTATGGAAATTATAGAGAACACTTCATAATGTGTAAAATGCTTTATTTTGGCAATTAAATTTGTATTGTTTCCTACTTTTTAAAATATATATTTTATTGATTTTTCACAGAGAGGACGGGAGAGGGATAGAAACATCGATGAGAATCATCGACCAGCTGCCTCTGCACACCCCCTACTGGGGATGTGCCCGCAACCAAGGTACATGCCCTTGACCAGAATCGAACCTGGGACCTTTCAGTGCGCAGGCTGATGCTCTATCCACTGAGCCAAACTGGTTTTGGCTGTTTCCTACTTTTTTAAAAAAGGTTTTTAAAATTAATTTTTAGAGAAATGTTGATGTGAGAGTGAAACATTGACAGGTTGCCTCTTGCATGCCCCCTAATCAGGGATGGAGTCTGAAACCCAGGCATATGCCTTGATTGGGAATCGAACTGCCAACCTTTCCATGCACAGGATGACACCCAATCAACTGAGCCACAATGGCCAAAGCTTTTTCTATTTTAAAAAATAATTATTGAATTAATCTGCATCTTTTAACTTCTCCTTCCGTTATAAAAAGTACATATCACCCATCTGGTGTGGTTCTGACCTTGGCCGGGCGACACTGGTCTACCTGCCTCTTGGGCTGTTGTGGAGATTAAATGGGAAAAGGGATGAGCAAAGGTGGGGGCTCAGCCTTGGCCTTGACTGCCTCCTGTCTCTCTCAGTGCCTCCTGTTTCTGACTGCCACCCAGCCAGCAGCCCATCTCTCAACCCAAACAAAGGGTAGACTGCTCTTTGTGGGAATTAAGGTCCCCAGGCACTGTGTACACATGATGGGAACGGCAAACACTTATTGAGCACTTGCTGTGTTCCAGGTGCCACCTCATGGCATCTCACGCACCGTGAGGCGGGGACGGGAGCTGCAGAATGTTCACGCCCTCATTCCAGCATCAACCCATGAACCAAGTCACTAGTTCAATTCCCAATCAGGGCACATGCCTGGGTTATGGGCTTAATCCCCAGCCAATCAATGTTTCTCTCTCATTGATGTTTCTAGCTCTCTTTTTCCCTTCCCCTCTCTCTAAAATCATATATTTTTTAAAAGTACATGTCATGGTTTGTGGACAAAAGTATTTCAAAGAACTGACGTGAGCAAGTGATGAAATTGGGGATTGAATATAAGAATGGCAATCTGGTCCTGGCCAGGTGGTTCAATTGGTTGGAGTTGCATCCCATACCCAGTCAGGGTACATACCTCGGTTGCATGTTCACTTCCTGGTTGAGGTGCAACCAGTCAATGTATCTCTCTTTAAAAACACCAATTAAAAAATTATCCTCTGGTGAGGATTAAAAAAAGAGAGAATGGCAATATGTATCATAGAATTGTACACTTGAAACCTGTATAATTTTGCCGAAGCCAGTTTGGCTCAGTGGCAGAGCGTCAGTCTGCGGACTGAAGGGTCCCAGGTTCGATTCCAGTCAAGGGCATGTACATTGGTTGCGGGCACATCCCCGGTGGGGGGTGTGCAGGAGGCAGCTGGTCGATGTTTCTCTCTCATCGACGTTTCTAGCTCTCTATCTCTCTCCCTTCCTCCTCTCTGTAAAAATATCAATAAAATATATTAAAGAAAAAAAGAAACCTATATAATTTTATTAACCAATGTCACCCAACAAACTTGATTTAAAAAAAAAAATAAGTCTGCTTAACTAGAAGGAAAACAGGAATAGAAGTACTGAATGAAGATAAAGAAGACCCCTTGAGAAAAATCCAAGGAAACCTTGAACCCACACTCAGACCCAATATACAGAGATGATACCATTCAGGGACTATACAGGGAATGGCAAAAGTAGGTTGACAGTTGTGAGTGCATGAAACAGTTTATTCTTATACTAGAGACCTGAAAGTTTATTCTTATGCTAGAGACCCGGTGCACAACATTTGTGCGTGGGGGGAGGAAGGGATTCCTCAACCCAGCCTGCGCCCTCCCTCGGTCCGGGACCCCTCGGGGGATGTCCACCTGCAGGCTTGGGCCTGCTCCCGGCCAGGCAGACATCCCCTGAGGGGTCCTTAGTGCTGCTGCAGAGGCGGGAGAGGCTCCAGCCCTGAACCTGACTTCTGGCTGAGTGGCACGCCCCCTGTAGGAGCGCAGTGACCACCAGGGGGCAGCTCCCGCATTGAGTGTCTGCCCCCTGGTGGTCAGTGCACATCATAGCCTCTCTAAAACAGTAAAAAATGAAAGTAGTACAAGAAAATGGATAATAGTTTCTATAATTTCAGAGTGAAGTTTTCCTAAGCAAGTTTTTAAAAATCCAGAAACCATAATAGAAAAGATTAGTAAATATGATTACATAATAAAGTTTCTGAACACTCTGTAAATAAAAAAAGGTAAAAGTATTTCATATTTTCAGCACAAATGACTAAGAATTACTTCCTTTTGCCGAAACCGGTTTGGCTCAGTGAATAGAGCATCGGCCTGCGAACTGAAAGGTCCCAGGTTCGATTCCAGTCAAGGGCATGTACCAAGTAGGGTGTGTGCAAGAGGCAGCTGATCGATGATTCTCTCTCATTGATGTTTCTAACTCTCTATCCCTCTCTCTTCCTCTCTGTAAAAAAATCAATAAAATATATTTTCAAAAAGAAAATAAAAAAAGAATTATTTCCTTTTATGGATCTCACCTGTACCTGTCAGAAAGACAATAGAAATGGGCAAAGGAAAGGAACAGCAAGATCACAAGAAATACTCATGGCTTTTAAATGAAAATGTTCCACTTCCAATAAGTGAACATTAAAACCACAATAGAATACCTTTTTTTTTTTTTTTTTTTTTTTTTTTTTACTTTCAAATTGAAAGATCACAAGTTTTGATGCAAGCTTTAGCTGGGAAGGATGTGAGGTCTGTAATACTTGTATATTGATGGCAAATATAAACTGATATAAGCTCTTTGAAAGTCAAGCTGACAATTGTGTTAAAATGTTAAATGTACATGTTCTTTGATTCAGCAAATTTACTTACAGAAATTTATCTTACGTATAACATCAGCAAGTGGACAGATCTGTTTACAAAACTATTCCCTGCAGCATTATTCTTAGTAACAAGAATAATAACAAGAGTGCACAACCCAAATAAATGTCCATTGGAAGGTTCTGGTTAAATATAGAATATTCGTATACATTTGTGGGGGCACTAAAATGACCAAGGTATAGCTCTGTGTTGTTAAGGATCAATCTCTAGGATATGATGTTAAATGTAAACTAGCAAAATATAGAACTGTATAAAATGCTACTATTGTAGACTATTGGCTTAGATATGCTTATAGTTTCTCTGAAAGGATGGTCAACCTGCTTTTAGAGAGAGTAGGGGTCGGGAGTGAGAGGGGGATTTTTCATCATATACTCATTTTGTTCTTTTTGAATTAAAAAAAAATCATGTTGCATATTTTTATACACAAATACAGAAAAAGTATTGTGGAGTCTGCCACCACCACCACCACGGCTGCCACGGCCACCTCTGGGACAGCTGCGCTCCTGAGCATCCCAGGGCAGCGTGTTGGAAGTTACTGACCGCTACACCCAGCCCTCACCAGATCCATCTCCTCCACACATTCAGGGCGAGACCCCTCCAGATACCAGCTGTGCTCCATGTCTGAGAAGCTTAGCTGCCACTACTGCAAGGACTCCCTGCACGGGAAGAAGTACGTGGAGAAGGATGGCAGCCACTGCTGCCTGTGCTGCTACGACAAGTACTGCGCCAACATCTGCACCGAATGCCGCCAGACCATCGGTGCGGACGCCAAGGAGGTCCACTATAAGGAAGGCTTCTGGCATGACTACTGCTTCCGCTGCACCCATTGCCAGCGCCCCTTGGCCACCGAGACCTTTGTGGCCAAAGAGAACAAGATCCTGTGCAAAGAGTGCAACATGATTGAGAGCGCCCTCATCTGCAAGGGCTGCTCAAAGCCCATTCTGGCAGGCGAACAGAACGTAGAGTACAGGGGGACCGTATGGCACCAAGACTGCTTCACCTGCAGCGACTGCAAGCAAGTCATCGGGACGGGAAGCTTCTACCCTAAAGAGGAGGAATTCTACTGCATGGCTTGCTATGAGGCCAAATTTGCCAAGCGCTGCGTAAAGTGCGACCAGGCCATCATCTCTGGAGGAATCACGTACCAGGACCAGCCCTGGCATGCCGACTGCTTTGTGTGTGTCACCTGCTCAAGGAAGCTGGCCGGGCAGCGTTTCACGGCTGTGGAGGACCAGTACTACTGCGTGGACTGCTACAAGAACTATGTGGCTAAGAAGTGTGCCGGGTGCAAGAACCCCATCACTGGGTTTGGTAAGGGCTCCAGCGTAGTGACCTATGAAGGACAATCCTGGCATGATTACTGCTTCCACTGCAAAAAGTGCGCCATGAATCTGGCCAGCAAGCGCTTTGTTTTCCATGAGGAGCAAGTGTTTTGCCCTGACTGCGCCAAAAAGCTGTAAAGTGACAGGGGCTCCTGTCTCGTAAAATGGAATTGTCTTGTTTTTCTGTGTTCTCACCCTCTGCCCTGCACTATCCATAGGGTAAGAGTTGTCTGTCACCTCTTCCAAGTTGTTCCTTCTGTCTTTCCTCCTATTTTACAGTATTACTCAAATAAGGGCACTCACATTAGGATTTAGCACAAAGCGACCCCACGGCAGAGTTAATGTTGCTATGGCTACAGTTAAAAAAAAAAAAAAAAAAAAAAGGAACACTTAGTTTACTTTTTTGCATATTTATCTTAGAGCAGAAAAGCACCAGCCAGTTAGCTGCTTAGGGACGTAAGCGAGAAACCCAGGAGCTAAGGCCCCCACCTGGTGCCCTTCCTGGCCCTGCGGGGACCCATCGTGTCATTACAGGACACGCAGTTGCACTGGCTACTCCAACTCCCTGTTCTGAGAGTAGAATGAGGACTTACCGAAATGCATGGTTTAACTTCCTCGTCAAAACCTTCTTTCTGTTCTTTGTGCTTTCAATCGACTAGTACAAATTTCCAGAATACTAACATTTGAACTTAGCTGTGATCCTAAGCTGACCTTTTTCCCGGACTAAGGTTCGAGTTGCCTGTGTGCTGTTTTCTGGACATCCCTACTTCCCAGCATGGGACACGCGGGTGATGCAGGCGAATTGGAGAGAACGGCCTGTTTCAAAGGAGCAGTGTCACAGTGAATTCTGGAAGCTAACAAAACTAACCCAGCTGTCCTTTCTTAATAGTTTGTTTTAGTTAATAGCATAGTTTATGGGTTTGGAGACTTACATGAAAACACTTGAGTCCTTCAAATGTTCCTAAAGTTTTGAAATCATCATACAGAAGTAACCATGAAACTCCAAGGGGGTTCTGAGCAGGTGCCAGGACTGTCATTGATACGGACGTGGCATTTCCAAACAATGGCAAGTTGAATCCCATGTGACAATAGCTCTCCGCTGTTTGGGCTGTGCTAGAGGCTTGCCAGCATCCCTTCTCTGTGATTCTTAGGGTTGTTTCTCACGAGCTTAGCTCCTCAGGGAGGAGGGCCACCATCCTCACAGGAAGAACCACCTACCTACTGTATTCTCGCTGTTACATCGTTACATTCCATAACGGATAGCATGAGAGGATGTCAAAGTGGACATGGAAAGACAAGACATACTAACACACTCCTACAGTGGTTAGAGAAGCAGACACGTCGTTTCTACATTTTGTCATTAGCTATTATCACCTAACGTGTCAAGGTGTCCTTACGGAATAAAGCAACATAAATTTAAAAAAAGTTATTGTGAAACTTTCTAATGATTTTTACTTTCCAAAAGTCATGCTTTAAATTTAGTTAGGGCAAAAAATGAACCAATCCAGACTTAAGTAAAAAATCCACCCTGCCACTGTGGCTCAGCAGTTGAGCATTGAACCAGGAACCCAGAGGTCACCGATTTGATACCCAGTCAGGGCACATGCCCAGTCCGAAGCAGGAGACAGATGATCGAGGATGTTTCTCTCTCATCAATCCTTCTCCTTTTCTTTCTCTCTAAAAGTCATTTATTTTTAATCCACATTTCCCATCTGACTAATATTTGTCAGATTAGGGAACACAAAGTGATTTCTAAAGAAGTTTGCAAAACAAAACACAACCAAAATAGAAAAATAAAAAGGTTAGGAAAACTGGACTAAATATGAGGTAGGATACCATAATAATATTTTTTTAAAAAAGAAAAGAAAAAAAAAAGGTCAGAGGTGTTTCTAAAACCAAAGTGCCTTGCCTTGAAGAAATTGCCTCCAGCCAGTACATTATTTTTAAACTATTAGCAAATTTCAGTGTAGCTGCGACTTTTCCATTCTCAGGTGACCTTTGGGATCAGAATTGCTCTATTTAAAGACATGGCCCAGGAAACAGTGAATGCTAGACAGTAAGCTGCTATTTAAATCTTTTAAAAAGCAGCAGTTCACATAGGGGCCATTGGGAATTTACTCTGGTGCCAAAAATCCTGCTGAAGATAGAGGCCACTTGTAGAAAAACATGAGTTTAAGTAAGTGCTTTATGGGGCTACAGTATTGCCCTGAACGCCAGAACACTATAATGTGTGTGGTAGTTCTCAGGGGTCTTCATGACACTTGGTGCCTGTTAGGTGGTTTTCTCAAGGCTCTAACCACCACTTAAAACATACACTTGTTTGTGAATGTGGTATGTTTTTCTCTGCATCAAGAAGGAAAACCCTGCTCTGGCCAGGTAGCTCAGTTGGTTAGAGCATCTTCCTGATACACCAAGATTGAAGGTTCAATCCCTGGTCAGGGCACATATACAATAGGAATCAACCAATGAACGCATAAATAAATGGGACAACAAACCGATGTTTTTTTAAAAAAAAAAAAAAAAAACCAAGACAACCAACATAACAAGAATTGTTGGCAAAAATAAATTGGGAGACTCATTTAATATTTTGGCCTTAAAAGAATATATCAGTCCATGCTGAAACCTGAAAGTTTAATAATTATCATATTTTCCGGCGTATAAGACGACCCCCTAATTTATAGTTAAAACATAGGTTTAGGCCTGTATTCGCTGTATAAGACTACCCCCCACTTCAAAGAAAAGACTTACTTTGCCGTCAAGATCTGCAGGTAATTTTTGTGCAATTTTGGTCTTTTGCCCCCGATTTTCGGTTGACTTTTTTTCGTTTCAAAAGTCATCTTATACGCTGGAAAATACGGGTATCTACAATAGTGTCAACAACAAAAAATAGAAGTTTAGCCAAAACTGGTGTGGCTCAGTGGATAAAGCATCAGCCTGTGGACTGAAAGGTCCCGGGTTTGGTTCTGGTCAAGGGCTATCAATGTTTCTTTTTTTTTTTTTTTCTTTTTTTAAATATATTTTATTGATTTTTTACAGAGAGGAAGAGAGAGGGATAGAGAGTTAGAAACATTGATGAGAGAATCATCGATCAGCTGCCTCTTGCACACCCCTCCACTGGGGATGTGCCCGCCACCAAGGTACATGCCCTTGACCGGAATCAAACCCGGGACCTTTCAGTCTGCAGGCTGACACACTATCCACTGAGCCAAACCAGTTTTGGTGTGATCAATGTTTCTAACTGTCTATCCCTCTCCCTTTCTGTCAAAAAAATAAATTAAAAAATTAAAAAAAAAATAAATATATATATATATATATATATATATATATATATATATATATATATATATTAGGTTTACTTTAAAAAAAAAGTTTAATAACTAAACTTATCTAGCATGTGAGAAAGATTATGCTCTGCACTTAGCAGTAAATATTAACTTTAACCTTTATTCTCCTTGGAGAGTGAACTAGACTGTTTTGCAGTCTAGTGAGAGAGGTATTCAGTGACAGCATCACTCATGCAATAAATAATTACCGAGCACCTACTGCTCTAGGCACTGGGGCAGAGGGCATACAGCAGTGAACAGGCAGAATTGCTCCGCTCAGGGAGTTTAGATCCTGACAAAAGAAATGTCATGTGATATCATATGGTTAAGTGCTTCTGAGAAAAACAGGGAAGGGGGATGCTGGATTTTCAGTTGGGTGGCAAGAGGCAGCCTCACTAAGCTGGCACCTGAGCAGAGGTCTGAAGAAGGTGATGGAGCAGGCCAGGGCCAAGCACCCAGGCGGACAGGACAGAGTGCCGAGGCCCTGAAACAGGTTTTTCTGGTGTGTTCTAGAATCAAGAAAACCAGTGTGGCTGGAGTGGAGTCAGGGGCTGAGAGAGTATCAGGAACTGCAGCAAAGGTCAAGGGCCGCTTACTTCTGACTGGATGACTTTGGCTTTTACTCTGAGAAGGGAAGCCACAGGAGGAACTTTTGAGAGGGGTGAGAGTCTAAAAGGATCCCTCGTCAAGTGTTTGGCAGCCATCCTGAAGGGGACTTGAGGAGCAGATTTTGGTGGGTGGAGAGGTCAGCAGCTTAGGTTTGGACGTCTAGCAAATATCAGGTAGGCAGTTGGATATTCAAATCCTCGGCTCGGGAGAGAAAGAGACAAGGAAGTAATGGGCATTTAAAGCCATAAGCCTGGATGAGATGATCAAGGGAGGAGAAAGAGAAAAGGGACCAGGGGTATACCAACCTTTAGAAATCAGGCAGATCCCCCAACAGCAAAGGAGACGGGCGGAGCTGGTAAGGAAGAGAAAAACCAGAAGACTATCTAGAACTGGGCTAATGCATAGAACTTGTGGCTATTTAAATTCTAATGGAACTTTAAACCCAGTTCCCCAGGCTCAAGGGCTCATTTCCTGTGGCTCATGGCTACCAAAGGGAACGGCACAGATAAAGGACATTCCATCCTCGCTGAAGTTCTCCTGAGCAGTCGTGATAAGAAGCCACTGACTGAAGAAAGTCTCAGAGAGGGAATGTGTCAAAAGCAGCTACTAAGTAATATGAGACCCAGACTTGACCAATGGATCCAGTTCTATGTAAGTTACCAGTGCCCACTTGACAAGAAAACAGGTAGGTAGAGTGGGGGCAAAAACCTCCAGGATAAACTGCAGGAGAGGAGTTGGAATCAGAATATGCAGACACCTCATTCCCAAACGTGGGCCCCAGCTGGCAGCAGTCTGCAGTCCACTCACGGAGGTCCACGGCTGAGGGACCTGACAGGCCCAGCCCGGACTCCTGGTGCTTCCTGCCCAGATGCATTCCAAGCAGTTCAGGACCACAGATGTCACCCCTGGGCTCACCTCCTGCTTCCGGTTTTCTCCGGCTGTGGGGCTGGGTCTTGTCACGCCTGGAGAACTTCAAGAAGCAGGAGTGAAGCTGTCCTCTCCCTCACCTTGCCACCTGACCACCCAGCCTGTCCTGATGGTCTGCAGCATTCCTGGCTGACTGCCCTGGATCCTGGCCTTCAGTCAGTGACTTCCCCTGCAATCATAACCTCCGATTTCTCCATGGTGACACGCTGGAACTACATATATCCGTTATAAGGCCCTGGTCAGTAGGCCTCCCCATTCCTATCTAATAATAGTAATATGCAAATTGACCATCACTCCAACACACAAGATGGCTGCTCCATGTGGTCAAAGGTCCTGCCCCCATGTGGACACAAGATGGCCACCACAGATGGCCAGCAGGGGAGGGCAGTTGAGAGGGACTAGGCTGGCAGAGGAGGGAAGTTGGGGGCAACCAAGCCTGCAGGGGAGGGCAGTTATGGGCAAACAGGCTGGCAGGAGCGTGGTTAGGGGGTAATCAAGCTGGCAGGCAGAAGCGGTTAGGGGCAATCAGGAAGGCAGGCAGGCAAGCAGTTGGGAGCCAGCAGTCCTGGATTGTGAAAGGGATGTCTGACTGCATTGGGCCTAAACGGGCAGTCGGACATCACTCGAGGGGTCCCAGATTGGAGAGGATACAGGCTGAAGGGACACCCTATCCTCCTGGCACCATGCATGAATTTTGTGCACCAGGGCTCTAGTGTAATAATAAAGTCTATTTAAACCTGGTGGAGGAGCGGAAACAGAAAATATAAACACCTTTTTAAAATTTGCAATTCAAACAGCTAGAGTAGGGGTGTCGAACTCAATCAGAGAAGGGACCAAAATCTAAAATCCAGCCTAAATCACGGGCTGAATGGTTTATTGAACAGTCAGAAACTGTCATTGTGATGGAAACGCAGCGGAGTGCAGTGATGACAGCGCGGTGCGGGCCACATTGCAAGGCCTGGCGGGACGGATTTGGCCCGCGGGCCTTGTGTTTGACACATGTGAGCTAGAGTGAAGTTACTGTGGAATATTTTTTGAGGCTGTTTCAAAAACACAGATCTCGTGACTAACAATGGAGTCTTTATGGTGCAGAAAACCCTGACAGAAGCACTTGAAGACCTGCCTCTCAAAACAGGACTGCCTGGGCTTGCCCACAGAAATGGACATAACTGGCTGAGAAGGGATCCTGTCATTGCTCATATGAGCTTTGCTACTTTTATTTCTTTGGGTGATTCTAATATACATCCACAGTTCAAGACAAAAATACTGATGCACAATGATTCCCCATCATGGTCTAGAATTACATGGCACTTAAAACATATGTTGTAGAATTTATAATGACGGCAAATGTTTGGTGCAAACATGAGTCACCTGGTATTGTGGCAAGCTTTTTTGCCAGTATTTTTTAGACTAAAATGTTAAACCCATCCAAAAAAATCCACATTAGATAATCTCAATAAAGACTTCAACAATACCCAAGGTAAATGGAATATACCAGTTTGATTATATTATGGGTACAGTTATTCTCTTGGGCGTACTTTATTCAATGATTCCTCTTCCCCAAAGAAAAGCTTTTTGTTACCACTCTATTTTTCTCATACCTGGAAGCAAATACTGACTGGTTAGGGATCCTCAGGTGCTTGTCTCTTTCCTAGAATCTCTGATGCACTTCCCTTATTTGCCATTTAACTCACTACCTAATCCTGTAGTCACTATGTTTTTGTAGCCACTGATTTTTTATATTTTTTGAGAATATAAAATAAATGATGACCTGCTAAAATAATAGTCTCCAATCCATCCATTTTAACCTCCCCCTCAGTCTAATAGAGCTAGGAGATAAATTTCACCTTTCCCTCTAACGAGTGCTTTGAACTCTTAGTCATAGAAAAAATAGTAATAACCCAACTTGAATAATTAATTCCTAAATAATCAAAAACAGATTAACTCTGAAATCTGAAACATTTAGAAATACTGCATTACTCCTACTGTAATTAACATTTCTATTACCAAGAAAATATTATCTTGAAAGACAGAGATGAGCACTTAGTTACCAAATTTCAGTATTAGAATGTGAAGAGATGAAATGCACCTCCATAAAAAATGAAGTCACTTTACAAGACAAGTGACCAATTCAAACTTTTGTCAATCAAAAAAGTAACAAATAATTTTCTTAAATCATTTCCAAACTATCACTGCTTCAAGACTAATCAAATGAATCAAACTGCTCAACAATTTTCCTCAGATTATTGAGAAGCAATAGGTTGGAATGACAGAGCTGGCGATCTGGAGCCAGACATCCCCATTTCAATGTCCTGGCTCTTCCACTTACTTGCTGTGTGGTCATGAGCAAGTTATTAATTCCTATGTGCTTCATGTCTCCTCATTTTACTCCTCTGTAAATGGCTCTGGTACCAGAACATACCAGCCTCACAGGGCTGTCATGAAGAATGAATGTGAATCATTCAACACAGTGCCTGCAGCATGCATACTACACTGCTCCTTAGCTTATGATGGTTACTCTCAAACCCACTGTGAATTAAAAATGTTAAGTCGGAAATGCATTTACACACCTAACCACTGGACCTCTGAGCTTAGCCTAGCCTACCCTAAACATCCTCAGTACACTTATATCAGCCTACAGTTGATATAAATCAGACTTAAAGGCTGAGATAGCTAGACTCCTACTGTATTATCACTAGTCTGGGGAAAGAGCACAATTCAAAGACAGTTCCTACTGAATGCATATTGCTCTAATATCATCAGAAAGTGGAAAAATGCTGTCAAGCCATGGTAAGTCAGGGACCGTCTGTAATTAGCAAGTACTCAAAAGATACAAGTGACTGGGTTATCTGTCCTTCACAGAGATGCACACACTTCAAACTGCCGCTGACTGAAGATTCTATGTACTGTAGCGGAAGAGAAATCACTTCAGGAACTAGACCTATGGAGGCAGTAAAAGAAAGACATGGGACTAATCAGAGAAGAATCTGATCTTGCTGCTTTTGAGTTGCAAAAGTACCTGCTTTATCTTTCAAGTAAAAGATTGCTGTGGAAAGCGCAGCATTCCATTCTAGTCAAATCAGACTTAAAGGCTGAGATGGCTAGACATGTTTAGATTTCCAGTAGCCCATACACATTGAGAAAGCCTTCCTCAATGACACCATTTCCATTCTGGAGCATGGCGAGCAGGCAGTGCGCAGTGCTGAAACAGCGGTCATTTGTGAGAAGCGCTGTAGCTGTGGTTAGGAACAGGCGTCAGATGCCTGGTTACAACTCTGGCTGTGCCACCTACCAGCTGCGTGACTCCTCTGGCACGTTACCTCAGCGTCCTTATCTGTAAAATCTAGCTAATTGTTAGCTCACAGGGCTCTTGCATTGAGTTCACTAATGCAAAGTTCTTAGAACAGGGCCCAACAGAGTAAGCACTCAAAACGTTATTAAAAAACCTATCAGTGTGAAACATTTCCCTGGTATTAATGGCACAACTGTATAAAAACATATCTTAATTTCACCCAGAAGAAAAAAAATAATCCTAAAATCTAATATTTCCATTTTTTAGATATTTGTATTGGTACCAGACATGAGGTAGTAAGTACAAATGCACAGGAGGAAGTACAAGGGTCACATCTTCATGCAACTCACCTATCGCCTAAAGACCAGCTGTGAGGCTAGGAAGGAGAATCAGGATGACCTGATAGCATCTTTTAGAGCTATCACATCTGACAGGCACTGGAACAAGTGTTTTCATTGAACGCCTTGTTTTCATCCCCTATGTATAAGTTAGATTTCTCAGCTTCCAAACAGTCTCTTCCCAAGTTCTTTTTTTTTTTTTTTTTTAATCAGTAGCATTAAGAATGCCAATAGGGCCCAACCAGTGTGGCTCAGTGGATAGAGCATCGTCCTGAGGACTGAAAGGTCCCAGGTACGATTCCGATCAAGGGCATGTACCTTGGTTGTGATCACATCCCCAATAGGGGGTGAGCAAGAGGCAGCTGATCGATGATTCTCTCTCATTGATGTTTCTAACTCTGTATTTTAAAAAAACTTAGAAAATATAAACCATCATTAAAAAAAGAAAAAAAAAAGAATACAATAGCATTAACCAAAAGGAGGAACAAATTCTGCCTATCAGGACACCAAACAGTTCAATAATTTTATACCAATTTCTCACACGCTGATAGATAGTTGGCTTACTCAGAAAAGGATGAATTGGTGTCTTAGTCGGAAGAATTTTAAAGCAAGCCAAGTAATTGTATAAAATTTAAATTTTATGACCATGTTTGGACCTTTTTACACATTAAACACAATGGAAATGTTCATGTTCATTTTTTTTCCCCAAAGGAAAAATCTCTGAATCATCGCTAGGTTGCACAGTAGGAAAAAAATAGGAGCTTAGGAACTTATTCAAGTTTCTGAAGAATGCAAAGAACAGACATGATTTTACTTCCAAAATCTGGTCAACAACATTATTTTGTAGTACTGTATCTCAGGCTTCACCTAAACACTCATTAGTCAGATAAAGATAGCCCCCAGTGACATTTTTTAAAAAGCCTCTGCCCCACCACAACTTCCTGAGATCTGTGGAAAAAAACTGGTCTTGTGATCAGGCTCCACACAGCACTGGCAGTTTTGTAATCACAAGGGGAAAACGGCGACTGAGTCTACGTGTCAATTAGCTGCAGTCTGCTGATCTGATTGGAAGCCTTGACAAACGCCTGGTGACGATTGCAAATAACTGCCACGCATATGGGGATGATACAGTAGCCCACCGTTTTGGGGTCAGCTCTTGTACAAGAATATAGGAACAAAAACATCTGTAAGTAAGGTATCAGAAAAACAACTGTCCAAAACCAAAATGGCAGGGAGAGGAACCGAGCCTTCAAGGAGTGCGTCCATGTGGTCCCTTCCCGGGGCTCCTCTGGGTGCTGCTGAATGTGTTCCAAGGCCAGTCTGTTGTAAGTCTCATTGATTTCAAAAACATAGTAAAATGCTGCTGCACTTGCCAACAGGTACAATCCCACTCCAATCCATCCCATCCGCTGGCGAAAATTCATCATTCTCCATGCTCTGTGCCTTCAAATTAAAAAAATAAATAAATAAATAAATAAATAAATAGAAAATACAGTTAGGGTTTAGCAATGCTGTCAGGGCAACTATTCCAAATGTACTTGCTTTTACTTCCAACGACTTCTAAAACACCCCATGACTACAGTTACGGTTTAAAATAAGTTAAATAGGAAGACATATATAAAGACATGTAAACAACTTACAGGTGGTTCGAGGGAATGATTCTGAGGAAGTACAAAAGGTTTCAGTGTTGAGTGAGTCTGGTTTTATGTGAATCCCACAGAGTAACTCCCTGCATATGGCTTACATAGGTCCAGTACACCTTCCATTAAAAAACATTGGAATCGAAGGTTTCCTAAGGAACACTTTGCAGTGCAAACACTTTCTGACTTGAGAGCACTGCTTCAGAGCGAACACTTGGTTCTGCAAGTCAAACCAATGCCGGGGGGGAGGGGGGGTCCCCCCTGGTCAAGACAGTAACTCTTCAACACTTACAAGGGTCCCGAGAATCTTGCTGTTCCCACGGCAAGAGTTAAAGAGTCACTCAGTTCTGAATACTCGGGTAGCTTTGGCATGTCAGAGAAAGCCACCATAAGAGAGATCCCCGGCGTCACCGGCTGGGGAGCGGTGGACACGACCCGCCCGGAGCACCCGCTGGGTGTGAGTAAGCGCGGCGGGTCACGCGGCGGCCGGCCCCGGAGCCCCCAGCGCTGTCACCAGCCCCGCCAGAGACTCCCCAGCCGGCCCCGCCCCCCGTCACGCTGCTGCGCCCGGGGCCGCGGCCAGGGCTGTGCGCGGGCGGCGTCCGGCCCGGGCCTCTCCGCCTTGCAGCGCCGGGAGCCCAGTGCCGGGCAGCGGCCAGCGGCCAGCGGCCGAGCCTGCAGAGCTGGGCAGGCGCCGGAGCTCACCTTCCTGTCTGACTTGGCCCGCCCGCTTGCCGTCCCGGATGCTGCCACAGTCGGAGCTTCCGGCTCATCCCGGAAGAGCGCGCGCCCCGCCTCGAAAGGCCCGCCCTTCGCGACGTCAGGGTGCGTCACCCCCGCGGCGCCGCCTCCTCGGTCACGCCCCAAACAGCTCCTGCGGGGAGCCCGGCTGCAGTTGCGGCAGCTGCGGGGAAGTGCGTGTCTGTCTGTTCAGGTTGGCGGCCATCTCGGCCTCGCCCCGGTGGCCTCGCCTCGCTCGCGACTCTGGTCGCCTCATCGCTCCTCGCCGCGGAGAGAACCGCCGAGTCCAGGAGGTCCGCCATCCCTCCCCGACCCGCGTCGTGCCTCTGCACAACCTGTTTGAGCGGAGGAGAGGCCATCCTCCGGCTCCTCAGGGCTGGCCTCCGGGGAAGCGTCGGGAGCCGACCCTAACGCCTCGTCTGCTGCCGGGGAACGCAGGCCATGGACCGCTAGGTGACGGCGGGGCGCCCGAGGAGGGTAAGATGGCTGCTTGCCGCAGTGGGGACGCGGTTAGGGGACGCGGGGCTTTCGGGGGGCCCTGGGTCCTTGTCACCTTCAGCTGACCTGACTGCTTTGTCCTCACAGGACCTGGAGCTCGGGACGCTGACGGGGCTGCCTCGGAGGAGGACCGTGAATTGCGGCCGCATCCCTACCCCCGACTAATTGGGCGTTGAGATAGATTGCGTGGGGCACCATGACGCTGAGGCTCTTGGAAGACTGGTGTAGGGGGATGGACATGAACCCTCGGAAGGCGCTGTTGATCGCCGGCATCCCCCAGTCCTGTAACGCGGCCGAAATCGAGGAGGCTCTGCGCGCCGGGCTAGCGCCCTTGGGCGAGCACAGGCTGCTGGGGAGGATGTTCCGGAGGGACGAGAACAGGAAGGTGGCCTTAGTGGGGCTTACCCAGGAGACTAGTGTTGCTCTGGTCCCGAAGGAGATACCCGGGAAAGGGGGGAGTTGGAGAGTGATCTTTAAGCCCCCTGACCCGGAAAATGAGTTTCTAACCAGGCTAACCGCATTCTTAGAAGGAGAGGGCATGACATTGGGGGAGCTGACCAGAGCTTTTGGGTATGGGAACGACCCTCTTGACCCAGACCAGAACCCCATCCCAGAAGCGCGGGCCCCCCTGTTGGCACAGGCGCTAGATGAGGCTCTTCAGCCTGCCCTGCAATACCTGAGCTACAAAAAGCTGAGGGTATTCTCGGGCAATGACCCCCCAAGGCCTGGCGAAGAAGACTTTGAATCCTGGCTGTTTCACACCACTCAGATGATGAAGGGCTGGCAGGTGTCAGATGCTGAGAAAAGACGGCGATTGATAGAGAGCCTTAGAAGCCCAGCCTATGATGTCATTCGTGTCCTCAAGATAAACAACCCTTTCATTAAGGTCCCTGAATGCCTGAAGGCTCTTGAGCAGGTTTTTGGGCTTATTAATAATCCTAGGGAGATGCAGATCCAATATCTGAGGACGCACCAGGATGAGGAAGAGAAATTGTGTGCTTACATACTAAGGCTGGAGCCTTTGTTACAGAAACTGCTAAAGAGAGGAACGATTGAGGGAGAGTTTGTGAATCGGGCCCGCCTGGACCAAATCATTGCTGGATTAGCGGACAAATCGCAGCGCAAGCGGCTTGCTCAGCTGGCGGAGAACGGCGTAGCCCCTGGCTTGTTAGACCTCCTGCAGCTGATAAAGGTTCAAGAGGCGAGTGACTCAGAGAAAGAGGAGGTGGTTCTCCAGGCAAAGTTGATAGAGGGACATTACACCTGAGTCTCAGGAAGCCAGGGAAGGACAGTGACAGTCGGCAGGGCATGGAGGTAGAATAGTCCATATACCACCGTGGTAGACATTAACCAAGCCCTACCTTGTGATGCCCAGTTCTCAGTACAAATCCATTGTCAGTTGTGTGCCTATTTAAGGTCTCCTAAACGTATCGTTGACTAGGAAGACTAGTTCTGCACTGGTGTTTATATATTTAAATTCACCCCGGCGAATGTATCTTCACACAAAACTGTACAGAGTCCTATCACTGCATGTGTGCACTGCTCTGAGAGGAAGGCAGGGGTCACGTCCCTCTGCTGACCTGAGCTTACGGAGATATCAGCTTGTGTGGTAGCAGGTGCACGTGTCGCATGTCACGTGATTATGTATCAGCTTGTGGGTGTCTGTGGCCCTCCATTTATCACGATTGTGAGCAGCGGTTAAGACATTTTCTATGTGAACCAGAATTTTGTTGATTCTGTGCCATCAAGAGACAGAACTAAATGCTGAAGTTCACTTTGCGGCTTCCATCTCTAACCTCAGGTTCCTGATGTGTGTCATCCTATGCCTAGCTGTGAATATCATCTTAATAGGTGTTATAAAATTATAAGTATGAACTTATAAAATAAAGGAATGCTGATGAAATGACCTCTTTTATTTGTCTGGTTTATATCGAGTTTCCAAAAGAAATTTCAAAAGTGTGAATCTGAAAGCCCACGTGGTCCCTAGGTGAGACGGCTGGAGAGAGCCTGCAGCACACGGAGGGGAACAGGTCGGGACACAAATCAGTGCACATAGCAGGGGAGCACATCGATGCAGCAGTGCACTGGTTTGAATGGTTTCCCAGCTGGTACGAAGTACAGGGACGAGATTTACATTCAGGCCGTCTATTTCCAGAGTCCTTGCTCTCAATCTATGCTATGCTGCCTGGTGAAATATTCATAGAAGCCTGTAAGAAACACCATCACTGCCCCTGTTTAATTTTTTGGTTACTCCTCACCCAAGGATATTTTTCCATTGATTTTAGAGAGAATGGAAAGGGTGGGGGAGAAAGAAACATCAGAGTGAGAGAGAAACACATCAATTCGTTGCCTGCAACCTAGGTACATGCCCGTGACCAGGAATTAAACCCGAGACCCTTTAGTGCATGGGCTGATGCTCTGATCACTGAGCACACCGCCAGAGCACATTGCCCCGTTTTACATGTGAAAGGCTTGAGGCTCAGAAAGCCTCAGATCTAAGGGCCAAGGCACATAATTTGACTCCCAAGAGCGCGTTCTCTCTCTCTCTCTCTCTCTCTCTCTCTCTCTCTCTCTCTCTCTCTCTCTCTCTCTCTCTCTCTCTATATATATATATATATATATATATATATATATTAAATTCTTTGATTTTTAGAGAAGAAAGGAGAGAAAGAACATCCATGTGAGAGTAGCACATGTGAGGGTGGAACATTGATTGACAGCAAAGGGACCCATAGCCTTTCATTGCACAGGACAATGCCCAACCAACCGAGTCACCTGCCAGGGTCTGGGAGCTTTTCTGAAGGTGCTCTGACATGTGCGTTTGGTAAACACTGCATCATCGTCAAACACCAAAAAAGGCAGCTGTGTTTAGGAAGTCATGTGAAGTAAAAACACAACAACAAACCTATGATCTTTTAAAGTTATGTTTTGCCCGGCTGGCGTGGCTCAGAGGTTGAGTGTTGACCTGTGAACCAGGAGGTCACAGTTCAATTCAGGTTTGTGCTCTGGTCCCGAAGGAGATACTTGAGCTCAGTCCTTAGTGCGGGGCATGCAGCAGGCAGACGATCAATGATTCTCTCATCATTGATGTTTCTATCCTCTCCCTCTCTGAAATAAAAAAAATATATATGTATTTTTTTAAAAAAAAGCTATGTTTCAAAATGAATGACAAAATCCTAAAAGATTATAACTTGTGTTGGGATTATAAGGCTAAAGTAGTTTTTTAATGTTTATTAAGTGTGTTTTTTAAACAAATATGCAAAGGAGGTGCTCAAGAAGGAAGTTGGCATTTTAAAGGACACAGGAACCAGCCTGAAAGAGCCACTGGTGAAGCTATTACTTGAGCAACAAAATTCAATCATAACTCAAAATTGTATTTTAACCTAAATTATAAAACAAGTGTCTCCAACTTCATGCTGATGTGAATGAATGAATGACTTCTGTAAGTCTAAAACTATTCTAATATAAAATATTCGTTAAAATACATACATAGATACATACATACATACATATGCAAGCAAATAATAAATGACCTGGGATGCCAGCCAGTGAAATAAGTGACTAGAGAGTGAAAAACTAGAGGGCCCCTTTTTTCCTAAAAATGGGTTATTCATTAAAAACACACACACAAAAACAAAAATGCTTATTCATCTAAACACCACTAGGTGGTGGTAAGCACTCAGGTTAGGCCTCCGCCAGACAAAGCAGGGAAAAGGATTATTTCTTACATAAGTGGCATCATACCTGCCCCTCTTCAAAGACTGGAAAATTTCTCAAGTCTTTATGTGGAAAAATACTGAAGTGCTTGCTCAATGTAGGACAGTGACTTCCTCTCTAGGTCCCTGACACTTCTAGAATCTTCAGATCAGCTTGTCACAGAAGCCTGGCCTTGGTAAATGGACTGATCTGTCTATACAAGTGAGAACATCCTTTAAAAAATTTATTTTTATTTTTATTGATTTCAGAGAAGGGAGTGGGAGAGAGAGAGAGATAGAAACATCAATGATGAGAGAGAACCATTAATTGGCTGCTTCCTTCACACCCCACTCAGGGAATTAAGCACACAACCTGGGCATGTGCCCTTACCGAGAATCAAATCCTGACCTCCTGATTCAGAGGTCAATGCTCAACCTACAGCAGGAGTGCCGCTCAGCCAGAAGCCGGGCTCATGGCTGGTGAGCTCAGCAGCGGTGGCGAGAGTCTCTCCCGCCTCCACGGCAGCACTGAGCAGCAAGCCAAGCAATAAGTGGTGAGCAGGCAGCAAGTTAGGAATGAGCAGGTGGGTGGTAAGGAGTGAGCAGGAGTGCGGTAGGAGTGAGGGGTCCCAGACTGGAGAGGGTGCAGGCTGGGTTGAAGGACACCCCCACCCCTGTGGGTGAATTTCATGCACCGGGCCTCTAGTATATAATAACCAGTATGGCTATCATTTGTTAAACTCTTCCTATGTGCCAGGCATGTTGCTAAATGCTTTACCTACATTACCTCATTTAACTTTAACTGCAGGCCCTTGTGCCTGTATTACTATTCCTGATTTCAAGTAAGGAAGCAGACCTTTGGGTGGGTAAAGTGGCCTGCCCAGAGTCACACAGCTAGAAGCGACAAAGAGCTGTCTGGTTCCAAAGCCAGTGCCTTAACCACTGTCCAGACCACACTGTCGGCCCCCGCCCAGCAGCCATAGCCTCTTCCTCCTTCGTATCTAAAGCCAGATTCGCTCACCCACTTTACAGAACCGTGAATTTCAGGGGAAACCCAGCCTTCCCAGCCCCTGCCGGAAGTGGGGGGTGGTTAATTTTAATTAGCTTAAGATGATTCTATACCCTTCGCCGATGAAATGTGAGCTGCTGTTTTCAATCTTATTGTGTGTGGCACTGCTGCCAGAATGCCTCCGTTCAGATTCCCGCCTCAGCGTTCTAACGCTGTGTCTCCCAAGTTACTAACGCTTCCTGGGCTTCAGCCTCTTCAGCAGAAAGTGGATAATAAAGATCATTATAAACTGATGAACCAAAAGATAGATATAGAGACAGTAAAGCAATAAGCAGATTGTCAAATTACAGCGGGGAGGGGAGGAGAATCTGGGGGAGATAATAGATCAACCGAAGGACTTGTATACATGCATATAAGTACAACCAATGGACATAAAACTCTGGGGAGGGAGGGGATATGTGGGAGGGAAGAAGGGGGACAAAAAAAAATCATTAAAATATGTAAAAAAATAAATTAATTAATTAAAAAAAAAAAAAGAAAGTGGGGGTGACAGTGGCTCTCCTCGTAGGAGCATTGCGAAGACCGAGTGAGTGAATGATGTGAAGTGTGGAGAATGGTACCTGCTAGCCAATAAACATCTATTGTGTTTGTTCCTTATTGCTGCACAGCCAATCACCCCAAAACTTGGTGACTGAAAACAGTCGTTACCCCTCAGTTTCTGTGGACCAGGAACCGGGGAGCGACTTCACTGGGAGGTCTGGCTCTCTGCTAGACCGCCACCCGAGGGTCGCCCAGGGCTGGGGCCATCTTTTGGAGGCCTTCTCCCGAAGCTCACCCACGGGGCTGCGAGTTCCCCACGTTGGGGTGCCAGTTGCGAGTGTCCCCCCCACAACCCACGTGGTTCAGGGTTCAGGTTCAAAGTTCGGGCTCTGGAGGAGGCCGCATGCAAATGAAAGAGACTAGAAAATATTAATTTGGAAATATTGGGGGCCAGGCGGAGCCCCGCTCAAGGGGAAGGACTTCACCCCGCTCTGGCCTTGCTATCCCTTTTATTAAGACTATGGGATACACCCGTAGCCTCTAGGCGGGCAATTCCAATAATAGCCAATCAGCAAGGATTTACATAAGACTAAAAGGTGGATGTTGCTTTAGCTACCATGGTCTCAGCTAGACAGTGGGTGCTGGGCTCTGACCTTTCAGAGCTTCAAGGTTGACCAGCCTTTCCGGTTCCTTGTCCACATCTCCCTGCTAGTGAGGACCAGGGGCGGCTTCCCACACGGGGCCTCTCCCAGGGGCTGCCTCAAGACAGGCAGCTGACTTCCACCAGAAGCAAGCAACCCAAGAGAAAGTGAGGGAACACCCAAGGCGGAAGCCACAGCCTTTCCATAATCTTATCTCAAAGGTGGCATCTCACCAGGCCAGCGTGGCTCCGTGGTGGAGCATAGTCCTGTGGTCGGCAAACTGCGGCTCCCAAGCCACATGCGGCTCTTTGGCCCCTTGAGTGTGGCTCTTCCACAAAATACCACGGCCTGGGCGAGTCTATTTTGAAGAAGTGGCGTTAGAAGAAGTTTAAGTTTTAAAAAATGTGGCTCTCCAAAGAAATTTCTGTTGACTAATGAGTTTGCCCACCACAGGACTAGACCTATGAACCAGGAGGTCATGGTTTAATTCCCGGTCAGGGCCCATGCCTAGGTTACAGACTTGATCTCCAGCAGGGGGTGTGCAGGAGGCAGCTGATGAATGATTCTCATCATTGATGTTCCTATCTTTCCTTCTCTCTTCCCCTCTGAAATCAATTCTCTCTCTCTCTCTCTCTCTCTCTCTCTCTCTCTCTCTATATATATATATATATATATATATATATATAATTCTTTTAAAATGACACCCCATTACTTCTGTGACATTGTATTCATTAGGAGCAAGTCAAGGGAAGGAGATAACACTGGTGTGTGACCCCAGGAGGTGAGACTCTTTGGGGGCTGAGAGGCTGCCCAGACCAGCTTTTTTTTTTTTTTTTTAACTTATAAAGAGAACAAGTCTATAGTTTTGTAACTTCTACTTGATATTTAAGTAAGAAAATCTCTCTATTCAAGTCAAAAGAAAAAATACCCGTTCATTACATTGTTGGTCGCTAACTCGTTCGTGTATCAGAGAAATAAGCACACGGTTGTTTCGTCCACTCTGCAGGCTGCCCTGGGCCTC